AACACACGCTTATAAAGCAATATTAACTTTTTTATATTTTTACAAGCATTCGTTGGTCACTTTTTAATATGATTATTTTATGTGTATGAAAAATTCTATTATGAATATTTAATATAAAAAAAAAAAAAAAAAAAACCTATTAATTATTGGTTAAATTTGAATAATTTCATCAAAGACTTTTATAGAAAATTATGATATTACTGATAAATGCTACAGTAAGTACACTAACTTTCAAAACAATAGGACTTTTAATATCCATTATGAATAATATTATATTATATCAAATTCTCTCAATAATAGAATTATTACGTTTTATTTAAATGTAATTAATGATTTTATCTATATATTTTTCTTATTTTTAGTCAATTTTTTAATCAATTGTTGATTTTTACATAAAAAGAAAGCCGATTTATATTACCCACAAAATCTCACACTTATTCAGTCATAATAATGTAAAATAAAATATTCAATGCATCGAATTATAGTGTGAATGATGACGTAATATAACTGCAATAAGTATTATTTGCATAATAATATCCTATTGTAAAAACACTTTCTCTGTGAAGATTTAATGAAAAAATCATAAGTTACACACATTAGATATTTATAAAGAAAAATAAGTAGTAATATTTAAAATTCAAAAATAATTTTAAAGTCAATAATTTAGACAAAAGGACAAAAAAAAAGTTAAAACCTTAAAATATATGGGAGTAATAACTGGTTTCAATTTTCAAATTATTAATTCCGAATTAGTTCTAATACATTTCTCCTAAGTGCTATTATTCATTATTAATTGACTTTACAAATCGCTAGCTAATTAGTTGGGATTTTTAAATAACTCTACTACACAGAAGCTTATAGATAAATGCTAAAAAATAAATTAAATTATTTGAAATATCTATTTCTCCAGTATAGCTTATACCGTTCCAACACCAACAGCATTCAATTTCTATAACCACAGTGTCACCGTAACAATAGCAGAATTCAAAATATCCAGGGTAGTAACGCAGAATTATTGAATTACGTGCATCTATGGCTGAATCAGCACCGTAATTTAATATAACGAAATGACGAGAGCTTTCGCAAGCGATTACACGGTATAATCATTCATAGGGTAAAACGATATGCGAGTGGTGACATTTAGTTACCAGAGTAGCAATGTATACACGTTTATGAATGATTAGAAAATCTTTTAAACACCCATAGCCTATGAAATAATAATGCGAATGTATTGCATTTATAAAAAGGATTAGTACTTGCAGCTATCAGATTTCTTACTATAATAATAAATTCCACGCATCAACGTAAAATTTATAATTTTTTCATCTAGCAATGGCGTCTCTAAATAAAAAAAATGCTACCACCTATTTCTTCAAAGAGAAAAAATATAATAAATGCCTCGAATTGCTACATTTCAAAAATTCTTTATTTAATTTTGTGCTGCGAATTGTATTATCAAATTAATTCTCGACTATTATAATTAACGTACATTTATTGTATATAGAAATACCTTATAGTTTAAACAAATTGTTAAAATTATTTTGGAAGCTTCCACAATATCCAGTTTCGTTGAGCAAAAATTTAAAAATATTTCTTTGATCTTTTTTTCACATTGTCGGTAATATTGTAAAAATTTTTAAATATTTTTGTCACTGGTGTATTGGTATTAATCATTACTAGCATTTGTATTAAAAATCACAGTAGATAGAAATTTATAATGACTAATGTCTAAATTTCATCCATACAATATAAAATTAAATTTAACATATTCATATTTTGCCATTTTCCAAAACTCTATATTTCCAATTATAGCAATGACAATTTTTATTTATATACATTTATATATATGTGTGTGTGTGTGTGTGTGTGTGTGTGTGTGTGTGTGTGCGTGTGTGTGTGTGTGTGTGTGTTTCTTAACTTGAACATATATTACCATAAATGTTATCATATATTTCATTATATATTTTTTTAAAGAGATAATTTATATGTAAAGCTTTATTGTATAAAATTTGAATAAAAATAATTTATTTTGCCGTCTGATCAGAGAAAGAAAATCAAACATTGCGATGATTAAAATATTTCTACCTTACTAATCTTACCATACACTAATAGAAATATACTTTTTATTAAATTTAGATAATTAGCACACAACAAATTTTTACCTTATAAAAATAAAAGGATTAATTAATTAAATAATTAATAAAATAATTAAAAAATCTTGAAATAAATACATGAATTTATTTAATTTATTACATAATTACATGATCTGTATTTGAAAACTAAAAATAAAATTTCCCAAATAGTAATTAATAAATAATAAATAGATGTTTTCATATATATATATATATATCAATGTTATACAATTTATCATTAATTAATGCATTATAGAAAAAAGTAAAAACGCTACGAATACATTTATTGCTATTGAGTCTGAGTGAATTTTATAAATAACCGAATGAACAAAAGCATTAATGTTTCCATTTCCCAACTAAACTTATATAAATCCTTCTTTTTTTTTATTTGCATAAATGTATTACTCGACCGATATCTTTCACGAATTTTCTTTTCCATTTCTCACGATATAGTTATGATTTTATCAAGACTCTTACACTCGTATTTATGAATCGCACATTTCAACAAAACAGATTCTTATTTTCAGTCCATTAATATTTTCCCCGAGAAAATATTCACTATTGTATTAATATTGATTTTCCATCACAATATTGAAAATTAAGAATGACAGGATATTTTGATTATATGACTATTATGGCTATTACTTCTATTAATATATTATTATTTTCAAATTATAAATATTAAATTAGAAAATCAAATAGAGTTTTTTTTTTGAGAAAAAGTTTGAATAATTTAAAAATAATTAATTATATTGCTTGTCGTAAAGGAATAATTTATAAAGAAAAGATTTATAATTATTTAAAAATAAAGGAACTGGTAAGGGACTAAACTAAAAGTTATTAAAATTTGATATGGATAAAGATTGAAAAAATTATTAGGGAATAATTGAGTAAAAGGAAGAAAAGTAATTTACATAATAGAATGAGAGAGATGCTTTAAACTTTAAGATACAAAGAGTAAGGAAAAAATCTATGTTTAATAAATTGAATAAAATTTATTATTATTATTATTATTATTACTTGCATAAATTAATTAAAGAGATACGTATTATAAAATTTAACAATTAAAATTAACATAATTACAGAAGGAAAATTTTTCAATGATAAAACACAGATATAAGCTGATAAATTGTTTTTTTTTTTTTTTTTTTTTTTTTATAAATTTTTTTTTTTTTTTTTTTTTTTTTTATATATAAAAAGTAGTTTTTTAAGAGAAATTTATAAAAGATAAAATAGAAGATGAAAAATGGATTGTCTATTGGTGTGCAATTTTGTGAAGAAAAAAATCAAATTATAAGAGTGATAGTGGGTGAAATTGAAATTTATGAGTAAAGAAAATTGGAACAAAAATAAATAATCGATAATTGCAAATAAACCTCAAGAAATTGTGATACGAGAAACACATTTGATTAGAAACGAAAATAAGTAAATAAATATACGTTGGATGAATGAAGCTAATAAATTGGATAAAGCTATAAAGATGTAGTATATTCTAAAAATAAAATATATTGCTTGAAATCAAGGAAGTAAAAGGTGAAAATGAAGCTCAAATATTCACTACTTCATCACATAAATGTTGAACGATGCATATTATAAAAATAATTTATATTAAAATTCGCAAGGACAATATAACAAGTGATACACAATCAATAAATAGATGATAAGCTTAAGTAAAATCCTAAATTACAGATGTTATTTGGTAATGAAAAAGAAACTGCTTATCTCAAATCGCGTTAGAAGCACTCTGCAAGGTAAATCACGTTATTTAAGTGAAAATTACCCTTATTGCGATGAAAATATATATATATATATATATAGATATTTATCATTATAGAATAATTTTTTCAATTCCAAGGCCTTATTGAGTTAATATCAAATGACTTGCAGTGATTCGTCATAATTGCGAATAAGCTTCCATCTTGCGGTCTTGTTCGAGATTTTTTCTTCGCTAAAGATGAGAAAGCGAACGATAGAGCACAGCATAAATGAAGATCGCGCGAGGGAGAGATGGAAAAGCTAGTTGGCTGGAGAAATATCGTAAGTCGGTTGGCTGAGCGAGCAGATAAGGAAACGGAGCGCATATTGGCTTCATTTGCACATTTCGTTTCATTCCGAGCTGTCGTAACGCCACCATTGCCGCAACTCGTCCCTTTCTCTATTTTATCGACGGGTAGGCAGTAGGGGGAAAAGGATGCAGGTAGAAAAAGGAGATGAACTATCTCTAGCTCGCTCCTTTTATGATCTAACGCTCATTTTCCCATACGCGCACACACGCAGTCACAAGGGCACAGACATATATTCATGTTTGGGAAGAGCGAGAGCGAGAGAGAGTGAGCGCACGTCAGCGAGAGGGTCGAGCGGGAGGGGAAGAGGGAGAAAAGTGAGACAGAGAAAGAGAGAGAGAGAGAGAGAGAGAGAGAATTTGCGCGCGAAACTTCCAATTTTCGTCCTGCCGCTTCCTCAGCGTTGAGCGTGGAGTGAAGAGGGAAATAAGAACGAAGACAGCATTCAACGACAAGCATACAAAAATCTATTTTCATAGCGAGCTCTTTGCTCCTCCTTCCCCGTGCCCCACTCATACTCTCTACCAATCTTCACAGCTGCGAGGAAATCTCACGTTTTATTAAATTCAAGTATCTGAGGCGTTACATTAGCATTATTTTCATTTCGCAGAAGCAAGAATTCGCTCAATAACCTAGCTATCTGCCCGAAAAAAGATTATTCTCATGGCTCTTCTTCCGATGCCATCCTCGCTAAATCCTCGCTAACCTCTGTTTCCCTCTTTTTTCTTCTTCTTTTCTTTGCACATTTGACGCTGTGCCCGTGTTACATAGCTCACTTAATTGAAAATTGGCCTTTACGTTGCAGTGCTCACGGTGCCTGGATACGAAGTTCGGGTAAATCGTTCGCCAGTCGTGGAAGGAAACAATGCCGTCCTGTCGTGCACCGCCCGCGAGGACATCAAAGAGCATCTCACCGTCACGTCTTGGTATAGGGACGAATCAATTCTACTACCCGGAAGCACTGACACAGGTAAGTTATCGATGCAACTTGCGTGGAACGGTAAATTCCTCGTACGGCGAATGAAGGCGAGTGAGTCATCTCGTTTAGGTAGTTAGTAAAAAAGTTTAATAAAATTAACTCTATATGAACACGAATTCCACAGCTCTCGAGATAATTGAACATGAAAGCACGCGCCTATGCGATCTTCACATACCAATCTGCTAATGAATTTTCACTCGAAGATAATTTATTGCGTTATAGCGTTGACAAGAATATTATAGAATTTCTTGAGAATAGTGAATAACACATGAGCTAACAGTAATACTGAATTTAAATGTTGCATGATGAGTTTAGGATTATTCGCTACTTAAGATTTTAAATGATAAATCATTCTCATAATACGAATGCAGGATAAAAAAAATTCTATTTTTTTTTTCTTTTTTTTTTTGTTTCTTTTTTGATAATTAGGGTTTATTGTATTTGACAGGTATTATTGTGCAAGAGCTCGTTCTTTATTATGCAAGTCAAAGTGATAAAATTAAGTTAAAATTAAACTGTACAAACTTTTCAAGAAAATGGCATGTTCCGTTCTAAATTGTAAACAAATACTTACATCTTTGTACAGGTTCTGAAATTATTTTATTATATCCAATTTGCTTTAACTTATTTCTAATATAATTTTTAAACGCATTGCAATTTCTCATGATATGTATTTTAAATTATAAATGTTTATATTTACAATAATATGCCAATGAAAGTTGAATAAATAACTAGAAATAATAAATAAGTATATTTATTTCTAGTTAATATTTACATTGTAACAAAGTTTTTTATTTCAAAATATCTAATTCTAATGTGTATGTATAAATAAAATCGAGCATTTTCTTTGGATAATATAATAAAATTGATTATTAAAATTAAATAATATAGATTTATATCAAGGAATATGTATAACAATTAATTATAAAAACGATTTTAAATAAAAAATGTTCTAAAAATAAGAAATAATGTTAATGTAATAAGAACTTTTTATCTTTATAATGAGGCTAAGGAATGAAAGTTGTACAATTGTGATGGAAAATTATAATCCATTAAACGAGTCAAGGTATATTATATTATGAATTGTTTAAATTAACATTATTTATGAAAGAATACTAATTTGATAAGAATAATTAATCTTGATATAATACAGATTAAAAAAATTAATTTGATTCTTGTAAACGAAAATTTCCAAAAAACCAGCAATACAATCTTATCCAATAATGTAGTAAAAGTTTGAGTTGAATATTAAAATGTTGTGCATCTGTTTTGTAAAAGTTACTAGAGACATACCAAAGTAATGTCATACGCCTTTTCTAATTATAAAAAAAGCTATCTTTCCTCATGAATATCATAGAATTGGATAAACAAATGAAAATAACATTCCCCCCCCCCTCATACTCTTTTACATACGTCGTGTAAAAAAAAATATCTACTATTTATAAACATTTCCATCATATATCAGCTCTTGTAAGCATAAAACTATCTTTTACTTCATAGAACATATTAACAACTTATGCCGACAAGATTTATTCATCCGTGTATCTATATTTGATTGTATCGATAAATTCTTTATTATATTACTTAATTCCCGAGATTTAAGTAAATCCGTGCAAATCCGTCAAAAAGAAAAGTACTCGTATATCTAACTACTTTTATTATATAATAATATAATCTTCATTTGTGATCAAATCTTCAATTATGCAATCTACCGTTCCCTCAGTATCTTCAAACATAATTTCAAGCTCATTTGCTTTCTACATCTCCATACATGCATGCATACACCATTACGCAAAGCAATCTTACAGAAGTGACTTTGTTTTACGCTCGGGTAATATGGTGTAGGTACTCGCACAGGAAATAGAAGCTTCGTTGTAAAATTGAAATACTTTTGCTAAGCGTTTATGCTTTTGACTTCTCCATCGACAACGTACTCACAAATGTGCCCCACTGTCAAACATCGAGGATTTTCCATGTACAGAGAAAACTTTCTGTCTTACTTTCTCTTCTTGTCCCTTTTATTATTTCGCATTTGTTTCATTTTATTCCTTCCTGCCCCACAAGGGATATTATTTAACCAAAATTTACACATTGAAATAAAAATCCAACACTTTTAACAATACTTGTGCTGTCTTTCATTTTATATATATATATATATAAAAAAAAAAAAAAAAAAAAAAAAAAAAAAAAAAAAAAACATTTCATTTATCTTCACTAGATTATCCGCGGCAGAAAATAAAATGTCAAAAAGAGATTAAAAATCAAATGTTACTTTCAATTCCATGTAATTTAACGGAAATGCGAATTATAATTCGATTAATGCTAGTATAATAATTTCACACTAATTCCTCCCAAGTTCTATCCTGTTAATGAAATCCGACTGCTTAATTACACTTTAGCTTCAAAGCGCATAAACTTTTCATTCGGCAGTACTATAATAAAAATAAGTAGCCAAAATTATTCGAAAACTGCACCTTGCGCGTATAATTGCATATTTTATATCCAATTAACCTGCATAATGGATCTGCAAATGCCGCAAAACTTCAGGGATTACTGCCTAAAATATCAGCTTAACTTCGCAATCACTTATAGCCGACAATGCAGGACAGACAATTTTTTAAACCTCTTGCATTGCGCTCATAAATATCGCAAGAGCGCTTTTGTGCAGGAGCTCGGAACGTACGACTCGCATTAAGCGTTCACCCACACACATATATTAATAACTGTTGGCAAGTTACAGCGAAGATACAGAGGAAGACAATACGCACCGGGCTCGGCTTTAACAGAGTTATTCATTCAGCCGAGGAAGTAAATACAGGGCATTGAAGGCTGCCGTTGAGCTGCAAAGGCCATTTAGTCGGGCATCGCCTCAAGTATTCATGCTCAATACATATTTATACTAGGCCCCGCCTCCCGCCATCCACTGCATAAACTGCAACGGGGCACAGATGGGTCGGGTATCGCTTCGCGTACGTCGGAGCGCGATACGTTTGTTTCCAGGTTGACTGTATTAACGCGCACCGAGCGTCCTGTACGTTGGCACGTTCAGCCGGAGGATTTCCGTGGTCCCCGAGATACTCCATTCTCGACAGCTCGTTGACTTCGACATTTTCCGAAATAGCTGCTTATTTAGTAGATTCGTTATTTAGTAAAATCGGCAAGACGCTGAACGTTCGCACATGTTCCTTTAGTTCTTTTGGGATGAATTACTCGTGGGATGGGCCGTCATGATGGCCTTTAATTAATCGGCCCGCAAGTAAATAATCGAATATTTCGAATAATCGAATGATAAGGGATGAACACTGATTCTTGTTTCGTCCAAGATGCGCTAGTTTTTCAACCGGCGACCGTCAATGTAGGCAAAATCAAATTATAATCGCGAGTATGAGAAACTTTTCCTTTAATTAATGTCATCGGTCTTCATACTCGAAATTTATAATGATCTATGAAATTTGATTAACGTACGAGGAAGAAATAGTGCTATGAACATTGACGTGGATCATTATGAATTTTACTTCAGTGTCATTATGAATTTATACATTATTGGTAAATAACAATAATAGACAGCAGAGTATTATCTATCGCGATACTCTTCAAACGGATAAACGCTTTTAAAGTTCGTGTCAATCACGCACAAGACGAGAAGAAAAGAAGTTAACGGGTACCACTTAAATTTATAATCTTAATCTCATCCCAAGAGAAATTAATCTATCCATATAATTACTTTATTTGTTTGTTAATTTAATTAGATTTCAAAGCAAAATATTTTTTTTCTTTTTGTAGTTTAAATAGACTTACTGAAATCCTTATAAATTTTTAACAAATATATTAGCACTTTATATGAATTCCTCATAATCCTTTACTACTATATTAGAAACTATTAATATCTTTAATACTTTACATTAGAGAGAAAGGAATATTAAAGTGTATAAGAAAAAAAATTTAGATAAATGATTAAACATAATGAAAATATAGAGATTTTTATGAATCGTTATGAAGACTAAATGAATAAATTTTAGCTGACAAATACAATCTAAATGCCTATATGTATTAAGTATTTCTATCACACATTTGTAATGAAATATTATCAATTAACTCGCTGCGTACGAGATGAATAAATCATGTATAATAGCGCTGTACATTTTCACTTAAATACATAAAACTAAATTATCATGCTAGATTTGAAAATCTACTTTCCATATGATTATGGAAAACGGAAATGTTACTCCTTTATTCAATTAGCCGTATTATCTTCTCCGTAAGTACAAAGTCCCACAATTGGATACATACCCATACATTCAAAGTCCATGAAACTGTTTTCTCTGGTAACTGGCTGTTTACAGAGAAAATAATTGAATGATGCAATATATATTATCAATTGGAGCTGCTGATACTTTACTATATACACACGTATATGCACGCGCAAATACATATACATATATATATATATATATATATATATATATTTATTTTTTTTTTTTATTTTTTTGTTATTTGAAATTGAATAAATTAAAAAAAATGAAAACAAATATTACCGAAGGGTAGGTGGCAGAAAAGTATAGAAGACTCGGAGCTCTCTGATAAGTTCCAACAGTTGGCTTTGATTGGAATCCTTCCGTTATCCTTGTAGTTTCATAAATTGATCTTGATCTCATCTCTATCGGATGTCACTAATACTAAATATCATAAGATTTGCAATCAAGTGGGAGAATATCACGATACAGACCAATACATACAGACCAACCAAGGAGTTTCGTTTGTATTCGTGGGCAATCGAGTAGTAACTTCTAATAAATTTGCGTAATAATTCCATATCATTTTCAACATTATTATCATTCTAGTTGTCGTAAATATTATTCTACTATTTTTAAATGATATAGATTCTATTGTAAAGGATTATTACATTTAATAGGTTCCTTTATGAGTTTTTAAATATAATAGTCATTAAATATGATTAATGTGCTTGGTATTTAATCCTACTTATAAAATGAATTTAATCTAAATTGATAATATATATTTAATAAATATAAATTTAACATATTGCACACACGCACACACACACACACACACACACACACACATTACCTTTTTTACAACATATTTTTCTATAACTTATTTGATACAATTTTAAAAATGTTATTTTACTAATATTTTTATGACGTTAATAAGTTAATACATCAAATAATAATGCATCATTATATTCTGTATTTGTATCAAATTTGAAAATTATCTGATAATTAACATAGAAATAAAAGTATGAAATATGAAATATAATGAAATAATAAGGAATTTCACTTAAAATCTCATTTATCAATTTACATTTTTGCCACATCTGCAATGCAATATTCATTTTATTATACATCGTTTTCTTGCAAAAATATCTATATTCTACAAAGATATGATTCAATCTGATGTTATTTGCTTAGACTAACCATCGATAAATGACAAAAATTAAACAATTTCTTGAGGACCGGATATAAGTGGAAGATGAGATGACCTCAATTGTCTAATAATGAGGTAAAATGTAGTGATAGTTCGGGAAGTTTCCTATTACTATATTTGATGTGTTTATCGATGGCAATTTTCTTTCTTACGAAGTCTGTACATCACTTATTCTACAATATATATACCTCAAGCCTTTATCTGGCTATTAGATTTTTATTTCAAATAAATTTGATATTGTTTATTGTAAATGTATAGTGTATTTGTGTAATAGCTTTTACAGAGGACTTAATTATTTTAATCGTATTTTATTAAACAACAGTGCTCTTTTCGTATCATATAATTAAATAAATTTATTTCCAGCACATAAATTCATACATTCATGTTTCAAACAAATACAAATTCTGTAAATAAAAGGAATAAATATATAAAAAAGAATTTTATTCATATAAATGATTGTGTCCATTATTCAGCTTAGTTCACAATATATAAAATAATGAAAAGTAAATAATTTTTTTTTTTTTTCATATAGAACTAGTGTAAAAATAGTCTATAATGCTTTATAAATACAGAGATAATTAGAGAAGTGTGTATTCTTGTCGCTCGAGGCGTTCATATTTATCCAGTGTTAACTGCTCTTCTTCGTTTGCTCATCACAAAATTATGATTTAACTATAATTGGCAAAAGTAGAAGCTTCTTAAAAAAGAAAAGTTCCTCGTTACAAATAAATAAGGGAATTATCGCGAATTATAAAAATGATACAAGACGAATAAAGATCATTTATAAGATATACAAATTAGAGAAATAAAATGAGAATTGATAAGATAAAAGTAGAAAAAAAAGTTCAAAGAGATTTACGCTTACGTTAAAGATCGAACGTGTATGCACAAATACGAATTAAGAATTACTTTGTAATTCGATGATTGTAGTCCACAGTTTAATTACTAATTGAATTCCAAACTTCACTCGATATACACAGCAACTGTTGGCACGTAAACATACCTACACATAGCTACACACATCCAGATATTGTACCATGGCAATTGCAACCAATTTCTAACCATAGCAACTTCAAGTCGAAGTATATTACAATATAAATCCGATCATACTCTTACGTCGGGACTGTATTTCTGTATTTACTTAATTTTTCGAGACCGATGATGAATGAACATGTTCGAAAGTACAAATATAAGCATTTGAGAAACTAGTACAGAAAGTCGGTTAGCAAATATCGTAAAGCGAAGTTAGTTAGATTAAATATACCGTAAAGGATGCGTAAGTGCATGTACATATAAAAGTGTATAAATAATTAAGTAATGTGAGAGCATAAGCGTCCGTCCTTGATTCACCTCACTCACCACTAGGTGAAAGTTAAGAAGAAAGAAGATTCGGTATATCGTTTTCAATATAAATGAGTTCGACGCGATAAAGCTTACCTTTTAAGAATCCCTCATTACTTAGAATTTCTGCTTAGATCATCTCTTAGAATCCCTTTTGAGTAGGAAAATAATTCTACAATTCAAAGATAATATAAAGAGTAACTTGTAATTTATAAAATTAATAAACAGGTACTAGCAAATAATAATATAATATCTACGAGTTATATGTTACACTTGGCTCTTGCGAATTTCTATAATCGTAATAACTCGATTGAAAAATGTCAACTGTATTAGTTAGATGTCCTTAAGCCCACTGACAAGATTATCATTAACGTAAAACCTATAGAAGATATATATATATATATATATATATGATAAAATTATATCAATTAAATACTCATACAATTGACATTGCAACAACAAAAATACTAAAAAATTTCTAAATTTCTAAATTCGCAAATGTTTGTGAAAAATGATATTTATGTTCCTAAGTAATTCTAAAGTCTATTATAAATATCTATTTGAAGTACGAATACTTTTAATTAGCCCATACTGAATAAACGTATGTTAAAAATAAATTGAATTAAAATGCAATTAGCAAGTTAAAAAGGAAAAAATACTTGTAATATAAGTGCGCTTTTATAAAATTTGAATTTAAATTGAATTAAAAACTTAAATCCACCATCCATATAGTTTGTAATTACTGTGTATTCACACTTCATATACAATATCCGGCGTTCAGTTTAATAAATTATACAAGAAGATACATTGAAATGCGTTGAACTCCTCCTGTAAAGTTTATCCCTAATACGTGAAATTGAAGAGTATTAAAAAGTAATTTTACCTAAATGAGGAAAAAATGTTATTTTCAATTTTATTTCGAAAATAAAGCGATAGATGGATGGCCCATTGCATATTATTGGGACAATGTTAAACATTTCAAATATGTAAAAAATTATATAATTATGATTGATAAAGTATAATAATGCGCTACCTGTACAATATACAATACTAAAAACTTAAAGCTGTGCATGCCATCTCTTCTTCACGAATAATGAAAGATACATGAACGAGTGGAGCTCTCCGCATTCTACTTCTTCAATGGTAAAAAAGTTTTTTTATCCAGGAAAAAACCTTTGGTCGGTAAAAGCTTGAAGAGACTAAGAGCCAAGCTTAGGGTGGCAGCCGTTTAAATCAAATAATCATTATTCAATAACCCATAATTGTTTTTCTTATTTTCGACAACATTATTTTTCATTTTAATTTTCAATTTAAAATTTATATCATTCGATAAGTATGTTTTGTTTATTGATAATATATTATTAAATAACGAGAGCGGCATTAATAAATACGTCACTTATGATACAAACAGTGTAAATATAACATCTAAACCTTTATTGCTTCTTATTGACTTTTTTGATAATATTATTTATCTATGACGATTGTAAGTATAAACGTCAATTATACGTATATTTATTACATAAATTTACACCGTTATAATATAGAAAATGCTTATTCATATAATATGTATAGTCTGTAATTATATTTGAAAAGAATTGTCTTAATAACGAAGGATATAATGTATAATTTAAAGAGACAAATATTTTTATTAATTTTATTATTACTTCTTTAAGTCGTATGAAATGAGTTTAAGCTTATATTGTGATATTTAATGTTAAGCTATGGATTTTTCAGATAATTTTTTGTGAAATTATTTTTATTTCTACGATACTTTAGTTGAAATAGGTAATACAAGGATTATATACAATTTTTAATAGTAGTATTAACCACTTTTTATAAAACTAAATTCTTTCGAGAAGCTCAAGAGCTCTGAACGCAGATCGTTTTAAAAGAAAGCAAGTATATATTTCAATCTCTAGTCTCTTCTTTTCTTGTTGAAATCCCAGTCACTTACTTCTCCACTTAAATTCTCATTCAAAGCTTTCAAATTCGTAAGCTCACATATTTCTTATACAATTTTCATCACCCTATTCATATATTTTACAAAAATACTTTATCTTACACATATCTTGTCATTTTCAGTTATACAATGGTATAACTAAATAGTTTGAAAGTTATGAGATGTTTTATTGACTATACTTACAATACACCATTTTATTATTATTATTATTATTATTATTATTATTATTATTATTATTATTATTATTATCATATATTCATATATTCAGGTAACCATAAGATGTAGTCGATGCAATTCTTTCATGCACAATTATGTAAATAGAAATTTTACTCGTTTATAATAACTGCTAGGCTGGACGTTATAATAAATTTCTAAAACGATTGTGCACGATGTATACAATGATATTGTTAAATTACTGTAAATTTTCAAAAAAAATTTAGTTAACCATGCATAAATATATAAAAATAAGATAATAGAATACATTTACTATATGAAATTTTCTCTAAGTTGCTTAATCCTTCGCAGAAATTAAAAATATAACATCACGACAAGTGATTTAAGAGGTTGTTTATTACGTCAATAGGTGGACGATTCATCGTAACGTCTCAAGGAGATTTACATATCAAATCAGCGAGGCAGGACGATAGTCGTGCAACATATTCCTGCCTAACCAGGCACTCCCTTACCGGTGAGACAAAAAAAAGTGAACCAGCATCTCTAACCGTCACGGGTAAGCGCCTCCACGATGTACTGTTCCGTTCAATTATTTATTTATTTATTTTTTCCTTTTTTTTTTTTTTTCTTTTTTTTTTTTTTTTTTTTTTTTTTTTTTTTTATTACTCTTAAGGCTTTTTTGTCCATTGATTTGGCAAGATATAATTTTAAATTTATATTATTTGGGTAAGGTTTTCTTGACAAAAATGGAACTTTTGTCGAGACTACGGAAATTTAAATCGTCAAAAATATGAAAAGTACAAGTGAAGTAATATTAATTCAACATTTTGAAAGACAAATCATTATTATTAAGATAATTAAGATGTATATTTGGCTCTAATACTTGGAACAAAATTATATTAAGTAAATAATATTGCAATATTTATACTAAACAAAAGTTGAGCCTTATAATATTTATCGATCTTCTTGTGAAACAATCTTTTAGCAATAAATGATGCAGCATTTAAAATTGTAAGAACAAAAGAAAAAACAATTGAATTACAGAGACGCGGTAATTTTAGACAATTAAAAATAGCTTCTGTATCGAACTGCATAATTACATTCTCACTTCTCTGTCACCGGTAGTGCTAAATTTCTTTCTTATTATATTTCCGACAGAGCCGAGTAGCACAATGCCACCTAAGTTAATGCAGCGCTCGCAAATTGCTATTTCCGCAGAAAGGGATTCCGATGTACACCTCACGTGCTCGGCACAGGGTAACCCTCCACCACAATTTACCTGGTATCGTGACGTCAACGGTAAGTGAGTTGCCGATCAACAGCGCGTTCGACCTTTTCGAGTGAAACTTATTATGTTTGTCCTTAATTTAATTACAATTTTCTAGAGATAAGAGAGAAGAAAGGTCTTAAGAGTGGAATTAAAATTTAGTTGTTGATATAGAGTTTTAAATAATTTTTGCGACAGAGGCTGCAAATTTTTTGTTCTTCTTTTTTTTTTGTTTTGTTTTAAATTCTTATTTATTAAATTTTGCACACGGTACGAAATGTCTAACATCGAATACTCATAATCTTGTGTTATAAACAATATTACTGTTTTACGATATAAGAAGTATTCTTCAACATTATGCTCATTACATTAATTTTTAGCATATGGGAAAGTTATTACTCGTGCGTCTAATTTCTCATACGATAGTTATATGCAATAATAATAGCTTAAATAATTGGGGAAGTGATCTAATTATTCTTGCTTCACTATCTAATTAATTACCGGATAGTTAAGAACAAGAGAATAGATAATTTTTAATGAACTACAATTTATATCATAAATGACTATTAAATGGTATTTTAATGCTACTTGAAATAATGTGTAATTGAAGTTAATTTCTAAATATTACGATGCTTAATATGAAGAAGTTTATATATATATATAAATCATACGTTTTCCGCGTCATTTTATCATGCTTTCAATATCTAGTACTTTTCAATTCAGTGTGCCTTCACGCAAAAAACTCGATAATTTATCGACGCGCACATTACTTTAATTTTCCGATCGATCGTATAATTTCAATGCGCCTTTGAAAAATAAAAGCCGCAGTCGACTCCTTCGATCTCTCATCTCATTTCCCCTTGCTCCCAACGTTTCGTCTCATCTCGGCCGTGCAACTCGCGCTCCTTTTTTCTCACCGACTGTAACTGATTTATACGAAAGGGCGCTCAGTGGCGGTGGAGTCCTATGGCAGGATTCAGCTCTGGGGCGACCTCATGCGTATCCGCCGAGTCGACGTTCAAGACGCCGGCAGATACGTCTGCAGTGCACGCAATCAATTTGGAGAGCAACAAGCGGAGACTCATCTGTCTGTTACTTCAAAATTGAACGCTCGTATTCAACCACAACTCCAGGTACAATAGTAGTATATTCTTATGGGAAAAGAGAAGTCGTTATCGGATTTATGCGAGCGTAAAAACTTTTTCTTTTATTATAACGCTCAAGCTCTCAACGATGCTTATAGATGACAGGCTGCTACAGCTATTGTAAACATAGCTTGAAATTATTTTATAATATTGCTCGCAGTGCGCTTATTATTCATTACATGAGCTTATGATACGTTGACTAGGACAAATTAATAACAATCAATAAATGATTTGTTGAAAATGATACCTTTTCATTTTAACGTACAATGATAACGCATTGCCATACAAATATCGATAGATTAATTCATTTCGAAGTTGTGCAGAAATGCTGAATTATAATGTGCTTAACCTATATTTACAATAAAAATTTATCTAATAAATAAAGCCTATAATTATGTGCAAATTAAGAAATATGACTAATAAATTGATACACATATAGATAATACATAGGCACATTTGGCCGTGAACTTATAAAAATTATCTCGTATCATTATAATTAATATTATATTAACTTAGGGGCTGGATTACATAAATCTTTAAGTAAAAGCTCATAGAAGAAAAATCGTCCATACACAGCCGATCCATAAGCGAATAACATGTGAATCAACAGTAAAAGAATCCTTTGCCGTTGACTCCCAGGTTGCAAACTCAGGACAGACAGCGACGATGAACTGCACCGTGGAGGGTTTTCCAATCGAGAGTGTAGAGTGGCTTCACGATGGTCTGCCAGTCCTTATTGCTCAAGATACAAGAGTACGACTCCCAGCGCCTCTCATCCTCGTCATCGGTGGTATTGGCAGACGTGACAAAGGCATGTACCAATGCCTCGTCAGGAGCGACAAAGAAAATGCACAGGCGACATCCGAACTTCGACTCGGCGGTAAGTACTCATTGTCGTGACTAAATTCAGTAGTCTGTGACTGAAAATTCATGGAAAATTGATAGGTCGCGCGACGAAAGCATGCGCGTTAGTGTAGGAATGTATCGATGTGTATTGGTATGTTAGCAGAAGACATTGAGATGCGATACTAAAAGCATAAAAAAAAATATGGAGAATCGAATATTTTACTTTTTCATTTTGAAAAAAAAGACCTACTACGATCGTTAATACAATAGTTAAGTCAATAGTTTTTAAGCCATATTTTCCTTTTTTTGTTAGTTTTTTTTTGATAATGCCATAAGCGTGTGGAAACTAAAAAAAAAAAAAATGATTTTTATGAAACATTCACTGAAATATTCATATCATCTGCTTAGATATTCAAAAGCTTAATTATAATGCTACAATAAAATTATATAAAATCCTTAAGTAAGTAGATAAACAGAAGCTGCGAGTTGATGTATCTTGTCAGATTTAATACTTTTATGTTCAGTCTCGACAGAATATTATTTTCACTTTTACTGAAATTAATTCGAGTAGCGAATTATTGTATTCTCGTATGATAAGGTTAGCGACTGAGGATATCATTATTAGTTTTTTTCATAATATTATTACTACATTAATATACAATTCGTATAATGAATAAAATTTATAACTATATATAAGGTATAAATTTTGCATAAATACGGGAAATTATGAAGACGATGATATAATCATTAACTAAACTCTACGCTCTGAACGATCTGAATATATTCGAGTCTTCTGAATGCCTTTATATCGACTTTTTAGAGCAACTTAATGTGAAAAAATTTTAATTTGTCAGAGAATATTAAAAATAAAAGATAAATATAAATTAATAGATTGTTGAACATTATTTTGTTTTATAAGGAAATATAATCATAAGTAATAAAGACAATGCTGAGCTAGAAAATCTTAATGCCTTTATCGAATTATACAAAAGGTTTATCTATATTAATAGTTTATACGATTGTTTTATATGCCCTCTATTACCATAGGACTTGAGTCATCTCTTCTTTTGTTAAAAATCTTTAATTTTCTTATCACTAGATACGATCCCGGAACTGCAATACACTTTTATCGAGCAAACTTTACGACCAGGACCACCTGTATCCTTGAGGTGTTCCGCGACTGGTTCGCCACCGCCTTCTTTCACGTGGTTACTTGATGGTGATCCATTAAACGAAATAGCTTCCAGTCACAGGTATTACCCTATTTTATAATACGTAAAAGTATAATATCTAATTAATTCGAAATAATTGGACAATAAAATTAGTTGTAAAATTGCGTGTTAATATTTTTACAATATTTATGTTATAAAAGCTTAGAAAAGCTTAAGATAATAGCAAATATTTAAGATTAGAACAAGAAATGAGCCATTGCTATTAGGTAGTAAATATTAATTTTATTCGGGCATAAATTATTATGAAATTATAAAGATATTTTCAATTAATAGGAAATTTTAAACGTAATCGATCAATTTAATTGTCAAATGACTGTACCTTTGATTGTTAAAAAAAAAAAAAAAAAAAAAAAAACAGCAAATGCTTAATGTTAATTTTTGCAGCGATTTTTAGCATTTACCATGACGATATTACAATTTGATTTGTATCTTTCGAAACATAAAACAAAATATGTTTACAGATGAAATTAACAATGGCTAATTGCATTGTTACGAACTACTGATAGTCGCAATAATATTTTTAACGATGCAAATAGATTGTTCGAGGTGGAAATTTTGTTTTTAAAGAAAAAAACCTTGTAAAAAAAATCTTATAAATGAATAAACAAACTTCAACTTTATACTAAATCATATCTACAAATGTATGTATATATATATATATATATATATATATATATATTAATGTACAAAGTGTGCGTATATGCATTATACTTTTTCATTTTCTAATAACATTTTGAAATAACCTATATATTAACCTAATAATAAGAAAGCGAACAAGAGTAAAAACAAAAACAATCATTCTTCTGCATGCGCAACTTTAATGACCTCGGCAAATAATATACCCCTTAAATCACTTTGAAATGTATTTTAAAGGAGAAATTGCATTCTTATTTTAGATATGCCATTGGCCAGTACGTAGATCAGTCAGGAGACGTGATTAGCCATTTAAACATTACCGCGACGACGACGGAGGACGGCGGTCTGTACGCTTGCATTGCTTCGAACACGTTGGCTTCTGTCGAGCATAAAGCAAGGCTCAACATATGGGGTGAGTCCAGGCCGAAAACTATCATACAATCGATGTGGCTAAAGTTATATTCTTGGATAACCAAAAGGTTGAAAATACTAGGAACATAATGTGTCCAATCGCTAAAAATGTCGAGCGAAATTATCAGTGAAAAAAAGTCTTTTAGAATGAAAAGGCGATTGTCAATTTGTTAATTATAAATCAATCGACGAATATTTAATTAATTTAATTTAACATTTGTCTATGCTACATTGTTAATAATACCTTCCATTAATCGAACTTTGAATCTTAGTCTAGAATTAAGCAAACGATAGAGAAATTATTAACATTGACTTGATATGTCTAATTAAATTCCCATATTGCGAATACCAGATGGAAAAAAAAAAATCTTACATCACACCTTACTCACTATTAAACATATCAACGAAAACGTAATTTCTAACTACAATGAAAAGTTGAAAAAAATATTGATTAAGCAACAATATGTAACACCCAAAGGACCTCCATACATACGATTACGGATCGGACCAGTGCGTGCGATCGCTGGACGAGACATCAGCATAGCCTGCCCGTATTCCGGATATCCTATAACTTCCGTTAAATGGTCGCGAGACGGTCCGACTCTACCGCCGTATCCAAGATACAAGGTCGACAACGAGGGCCACCTGACCGTCATGGAAGTCACTCCCAACGATCAGGGCACTTACACTTGTACCGTCCATGCGGGCTCCGGACAAACTGCCAGCAGGGACATCCACGTCGAAGTTCAAAGTAATCACGAATTTATGCCAATTTACTAATTACATCTCAAGCTCCACTAATACAAGCCTTGAGTCTTCTGTTCCTTTCCCCTTTCGTTCCTCCACAATGACGAGCTTCATCTTCATCTTGCATTATTAAGACCAATTATTTGACCAAAAAGAAGAATAATTGAGAGAAAACAAAGAAAAGTTAATTTACTCTACTATTTTACTTTGTATTCTAATTGAATGCCAAAATATCGATATATGTCAAGTAATAAATGTGAAAGGTCATTTTTACTTTGATGGCAACATTAGTATTTCATACATCAGTTCATAGATAATATTCCTCTCGTTATTGAAGGTAAATCATTTTCAGTCGTAAATCAACGATTAACGTACTACGAAACAAAAAAACTTTTATTGAAAACCTATTTTTACATAGATAATAAACACTTTGAAGTTTCTTTTCATTTTTTCACGCCTCATATTACGTTATCGCATCATTGAGTGCTACACCGTTTCTCTCGCATACTTCTTTACTTTTATTACTTGTTTATTCCATTCGATATTCCTTTCAATTACTCAACTGACTCGTATTTCTTATCGTCCATGCTTGTTTTCCTTATTGTAATTCGACCATTTTTATCCTTACCCGTGCTCGTCATTTTCTTCCACTTATTAAGAATGCAATTTATGTAAGAAATTATGTTTAAGTATCGAAGATAATGTTTTAACGTAGAAATTTCATGATTTATTTGTATTTCTCAGCTCCTCCCGTTATAAGTCCGCTCAACTTCCCCCCAAATCTACAAAAAGGCAGTCGAGCTCAGATCACCTGCAGTATCACCTCCGGTGATCTCCCCATTCATTTCTCTTGGCTGAAAGATGGAGAACCTTTACCATCGTCTCTTAACGTAAGTTGCTCTATCCTACTTTATCCATAGTAATAACGTTTCCATTTACCCATCAAATAAATTAAAAACTTATTCTCATTATCGTAACTTAGAAATTAATTTTAAAAATCCGTAATTTTTCATACGAGTATTAATACATGATCTTTTTATACAGAAATTAAGTTTCTAAGTGATCATGATCATCACAATCGATCATTGGTATGAAATGTCCTGTATGGAGGTCTCGACAATTTGTATTTTAGCTTAACGCGCATAATTATCGAGGTCATTGAATTATTACGCGCACTTAGCCAAACATTTTTTTTTTTTTTGATAGATTATTCTCGATTCTTTGTATTGCATTTGAAATTTAACAATTATAGAATATAAATAGTCTTTGTGTGTAGTACAAACGAGACTCTTTATTTCCAGTATATCTTAAATTTTTTTCTAACTTATATTCGATAATCGCGGCTAAATTTGTATAGCTATTTCTTACATAATACCTTCTTCTTCTTCTTCTTCTTCTTCTTCTTCTTCTTTATCTTTCGGGGAGACGAATGCGTCATTTGTGTAAAAATTTTTTTCTCTAACGGTTAAATATTTTGCAACTCAATGTACAACACAAAAATTTGAAATTATCACTATTATATTTTATTATTTCTATTAATACATAAACCGCTTCTTGCTCGTATTGTTATTTTCGATTTTGAAAATATTAGCGTTCATTGGAGACTTACGTTATTCTCTATATAATTCAAATTTACTTCTAAAATCAATGAATAAACTGTTCGTTTGGATTTTAAAATCGAGTACTAGATATGCTTATTATTCTTTTTTTCTTTACATTTTTTCTCACTTCCTAAAAATTCATATTCGATAATCTATGGCAAATATATTAGCAAGTCTACTTTTATATATAAGCTAAGTAGAAAATAATTTGTTTATTACATAAGAGAGCCTAAAATATGATAATAATGATATTCCGAGCTCGATTTCATCACACTGCCCCCCCCCCCATATCCGACAGACACGTGTCAACTGCTACTGAGCCAATTGTCTCGTAAAGTTTAAGAAAGACGTCACAATGCCAAAGAAAATAAATTCTTATTGCAGATCGAGGAGAAGCGCGACGAGTTCTACAGCTTCCTTGTATTTAAAGAAGTCTCGTCGCGACACAGCGGCAATTACACGTGCATCGCGACTAACAAAGCGGCGAAAGTTAACGAGACGACGGAGCTGCTGGTGAAGGTGCCGCCTCAGTGGATATTCGAGCCTCAGAACGTGTCGAGCCTCCTTGGCAACGCTCTCTACGTACATTGCAAAGCCACCGGCTTCCCACCGCCGCAGATCACGTGGTTGCGCGGCCACGCGCGCACCTCCAACGATTTTCAACTGCTTACGGAAATGATGGATGGTCGACTGACGATTTTACCCAACGGCACCTTGTGGACGACCTCGGCCGGGCCTCAGCACGAAGGTCATTACTTGTGCCGGGCGAATAACAGCATTGGCTCAGGACTTAGCAAAGTCATATACGTCTCCGTTAACGGTATGATTTATGAGCTGCGGTCGCAATAATATATATGCCCAGCGATATGATAAATTTATATTTGAGGCTGCGATATCAGTGAAATGAGTCTCATTTCTAATTAATTGTTGCGCTTTCACGAGAAACTTCTTAATACACGTTTGACCTTAATTGAGCGATGAATTAAATCTGGATAATGCTGCACGGTTATCTTTCGGATATACTTTCAACGTTCTAATATCGATGAAACGCAAAGAAGGTAGTCTCATTTTATTAGGAATCCCCTACGCTTAATTCATATAAATGTGAGATTGATGCGATGACGAATTTTAAATAAACTAATGAAATTAAATTACTGTAACGTCCTGATTCGTAATAAATTAAAACAAAGTTATCGAATAATGAAACAACGGGACTTGTCGAACATTTTTCTCTGCTTTGACATTAAATCACTTCCAATATGTAACAAGATTTTATTTCGAGTATATCATCGATTGAAAAGCATCTCAGATCCTTTTCACGTATCATATAAAAATATTTATCAACCAAATATAATATCATTTAATAAATCCTATCTATATATTTATTACATTACATTTTCAAGTTTACAAAGAATTTATTAAAAGAAAAGAGAGAAAGATTTTTATCATTATTATCTTATTAAATATATCTTGTATCTCGGATTAAATATGTATACAATGTTGATTAAAGGCTTATTTTTTTATTAAAGTTTACAATGCTAATGTAAATGGCAATGTAAATATAAATGTAAAAAAAAAAAAAAAAAAACAATCTGAATCCAGAATAGAATCATTTACCTGCAGAATATAAAAATAAAGCAAATTTCAATTTCCGAGGGATTCGCGTTTGAAATTCTGGATTAACCGAAAATATAATGGATGAGAACACATCGATAATATGACAGACAAGATTAGAATAAACTGTAATTCAAAACTTCTAATGAAAAGGATTAATTTGCCTAAATTTGCTTTACGTGCATTTAACGGCTTTAAAAATTTAACGAGAAATTCCTTCCAATCCTGACATTCTCCACGCATTTCCAGAACCTGCGAGGTTTGAATTTCAAAGCAAGAACGTGACGATTCGTCGAGGCGAATCAGTTATACTGGATTGTACTGTGATTGGTGACAACCCCATAAACGTTCAATGGATGCACAATAATAATCGCCTCAATACAAACGTCCATCGGCTCACCATAAGCCAAGTTAAAACTGATAATGGATTGAAATCACAACTGTCTATCGGTTTGAGCGATCGGCAAGATTCGGGAGCTTACAGATGCACCGCGGATAACGATTATGGCCGAAGCGAACATTTCATCTATCTCGCCGTACAAGGTTTGTTAAGCTCGTTTTATGGCTAAGCGCGAACATAATTTTTAACTGCGGTAAATATTTCTAATTAATATACGCGAGATATAAGGGAGTATAAGTAAGTAATGGCGTTGATTGTTCAATCTAAATTTTAATAAATTTTATTAATATTTTCATATTACCAAAATTTATTGCGTTTAAATATTATTAAATTTCTATTGATATAATTTCATGAGTCTGTTGGAAATTCTTTGTAGTAATATTCAAAATCATTGTTACATGTGCATCAGTGGATAACGTTTAATTAAATTTTTCTATTCTATCATCGTTATACTTCGTTTGGTAATTCTACAATTTTATTGCCAAATAATATAATTAAAATGCAAGAATTTAATCAGCTAAATATGTATAATTAGAGTTTTCTATTCTTTGTAATGTATACTAATATTGAAAAAAAATTGTCAAAGTTCACATAAATAAACGATTTGTAGATTCTTCGTGTGGAATTTTTCAAATAATATGCCACGAATCACTAATTTACTCGTATTTTCAGTAAAAACTAAGAAAAAATATAATTATTAAAAATGAAGCTATAATGAAGATTCTTAAAGTAGTATTAAACACTAATCTTTACTTAATTTTATAAACCTACGTATTACAGACGAAATATTATGAATTTTTTATCCATGCCAATAAATATTTCTTTACATTTGTCTACGTAACGTAAAACTCATTTAGCATCATCATTACATAATTTATAAAATTTGAATTTATGTTTATAAACACCCAAGTCGTAAATTCAAATCAAAATTTGATAGAAATGCCAGATCCACCATCAGCTTTGGAAGTGATTGAGATTGGCTCACGATCGATTAAACTTTCGTGGAACAAAGCCTTTGATGGGAATAGTCCAATTCGAGAGTACATTATCCAATATCAACCTGTCTCTCATGGTATTCTAGAAGACGATTGGGAGCTAACAAAAGTACATAATATATCCCATATACCGAATTCCTTCTACGATCTGGGAACAAATCCAACACAAAATAGTAATATGTACTTCATATTTTTGTTATATCTTAAAAATAAGTTGTATCGATTAAGTAATTCATGAGAATATCAATCTTTTCATTAAAAAAAAAAAAAAAATATATATATATATATATATATATATATATATATATACATAAACATTTCTTAAAAAAAATCTTTCCTTCAAAACATAAAATAAATATGTTCATTAAATCAAGTAAAAATTCACTTTACGCAATATTTATTAACTAACAATAAGTAAAAATCTATAAATTACATAAATTGAAGAGATCTATTTTTAATTATAAATTGCTCTCCTTGAATTTCATTGGATTATTTTCCTAACAGTCAATTCTATTATTAAATTTATATTAAATTTTTTCGTAATTACAATAAAATATAGTTTATATAATATTGGTATTGTAAAATATTATAATATAATGTTTTTTCTGTCATTATAGGTATACCTCGTTACGTAGCAACGAATGAAAATCAGGAAATTGCTCTTGTTGGCGGCTTACATCCAGCAGTCACATACAAATTTCGTGTTTTTGCAATTAATTTTATCGACTCGAGTGAGCCAACTAGATTAGCCGTAGCAAAAACTCAAGAAGAAGGTAAACCAAATACGATATACGAGAAAAATTATGAATATACATTATATTAAGTTCGTGTTAACGTATTTACTTTAGCCCCCACAGAACCACCGCAGAATATTAAAGTATCTTCTGCTGGTCCAGGTGAACTAATAATCAGCTGGGAGGTAAAATTTACATACATTTTAATCTTACTATCAGGACTTTTATTTTGAAAAAAATTTCAAAAATTTATCTACTATTAGAAGATTTTAAAATATTTTTATCGTATCAATTTAGTATGACGTATCGTTTGTGTGCAAATATAGATGCTTATATTGTTAAAAATAAAACATGGTATTAGAAATCACTAAATAATAAATAACAGTACATTGAAATGTGCATAACTGCACGTATAGTAATGTCTTTATTAAAGATATTTTGATTAATTTCATAATTATTTTATTGGTAGTACAACTATCAATAATGGCACTCTACTCTTTGCTCTACAAATATAAAAGTCAAATATCTACTGCCATCACTACGTAGCTACAACAACCTTAAACTATGTATATTTATAATATACCGTGTGAAACTATGCCTTGAATTATTTTATATGAGCCTTATCTCGATAGAATAATATGAATTACGAAATATAATGATAGTTATACAATTACCTGAATAGAACTCAAAGATAATTTATATAAGCAAGGAAAGAAAAAAATCGGCATTTTCATTGTAGATGATTATTACAGTATAAGTACTAATCAATAGATCAATGACCTTATGATTTTCCCAAAAAAATATTTCGAACGACGGCCTAAAGATTATATGTAAATAGATTTTTTTTTTTTTTTTTTTTTTATCCAATTTCAATAAATTATTACTACGATATTTTTCATTTAGTAATTTATATTATCTAAAACTATTACTCCTGTAACTATAAAAACTCTAAAGTGCCGAAATTCATTTTACTATGTATTTTTTAAGAAGTTTACAGAAAAACTCGTAATTAAAAATTAATAATAAATAGATTTTTAATATTTACTGAAAACTTAATAATCATGATAATAATAGTAATAACTAATTTCATCGATTATCAACTTGTGATGGCCAATTTTCGTCACTTTGTCGCTTTTATAATTAAGTAAAATATGTCATAGACGACAATAAATTATAACATATAACATATAATAGAACAAAAATATTCATTAAAAAATAATGTTCGTGAAACTCTACACTCAGGCTCCGCCCAAAGAATCTTGCAACGGGGACCTTTTAGGTTATATCGTTACCTGGTCCGAACAATCATCTTCGACTTCGGGTGTTAATCAAAGTAAGAGCCTGAATGTCAATGGATGGGCAACGAATAAAGTTCAGTTAACAGGATTAAGGAACTTTACCAAATACGATATATCTATCAGAGCATTCAATAGTATTGCCAGTGGACCATCTAGCGTTCCTATTACTGGTACAACTCAAGAAGGAGGTAAATTAGCAGAATGTTTATATTTGTGAAAGTGTGAAAATTTATTTAAAAACCTCAATGTCATGTAAAAATAGCATCTCTTTTATCTAATAATAATTTATGAAATAATTGCTCCCTATTGCTTCATACAAGTGTCTTGTTAATTAGTAATTAATTACTAAACAATTAGAAGATGAAAAAAAAATGGATGCCAGCATTAATAATAATTAATATGTTATTCAATCGCACAACAAAATACAGTGTTTTTCCTAATTTCTTCATTTCTTAATAAATGCGTATTATACGAAGCTTTTAAAAAAAATTTTATTACACTTTAGTTCCAAGTGCACCACCATCGAGTGTCGCCTGTTTGTCTTTCACATCTCAAAGCGTAAAAGTCCAATGGAAAACTCCACCTGCTCATCATCACGGCGGAATTATTCGCGGCTACAAAGTTTTTTATAGGCCCGTACCTACCGATAACAGTTCGTTTCCTTAGATTCAGATAATCCAGTTTAATTAACATTGACACTGTAATTTAACAAATAAATCATTTTCAGTGGAAATCTCTACTACGGGGGAAATAAAGAAGACTGCCAGCGACGAAACTTACCTTCACACATTATACAAATATACGAATTATTCTATTCGTGTATTGGCATACACCGAGGCTGGAGACGGCGTTTTAAGTAAATCAATTTATTGCGCCACGAAAGAAGATGGTAATTGGAAATTAATTATCATAGAATAACATGTGGCGTGATTCGAGAGTAAAAAGTAAAAAGGCCAAACTGGAACTTATTAGAGTAAAATGTATATGAAGTGAAAAGATTTTTGAATTCGTTTAAAACATTATAATTGAATTTTTTTTTAATAATTTCCAACGATCCAAGTTATTGCGAAAGTAATTTATGTATTTTTCAAACTTGAATTTCACAAGTAACATTAGTCTAATTGTATAAAACTTTAACAAGGTGAAACAGTTTGTGTGCACGTGCGCGCGTGCGTGTGAATGTGAATGAAAGCATTGAATAAACATTATTTTTTAAGTAATCGAGTTTCTCAGTAGTACGAAATTGTGTTTGCAGTACCGGGTCCTCCTGCTGGTATTAAAGCTTTGGCATTGTCATCGGACTCTATACTAGTTTCATGGCTTCCACCATTACAACCAAACGGTCGAGTTTCCAAATATACCGTTTATTTTAGAGAAGCGGGTTCGAGCAGGCACAATACGTATACAATAAACGAGCCTCCGGTGTCGTCGTCCGATACATTAACCAAAGAATTGCGCGAATTCAATGAACGGTAAGTACAAATTTAAAAACTTTCTGATTATAATGTCTGTAAGTACAGTGTCTTATTTATCGTTTCGCTCAATATAATATCGATTACGTTGTCAGGCAACTTTATGAGTTTTGGGTGACTGCGTCAACGGCGCCCGGAGAAGGGGAATCTACCATTGTGGTCTCTCAAAAGACCGATACGCAAGGTAACGCAGGTAATAAATATCGATTCACGAAAATTTGATAAGACCAAGAGTGAGATGTGAAATAAAACTTGATAGCATTTTTAGCACCGGCCAGAGTTGCGTCGTTTTCTCAAATTCTGAAGAAACCTATAAAATCCTCGGTAACGCTGTCTTGTATAGTTGTTGGTAATCCAACTCCCAGACCACTGTGGACGTACAGAAATAGTCAAGTTACCAAGAGCAAACATCATGAGATAACCTCTGATGGACATTTAAAAATTCACGGTACACTTTGCACGTAATTAATAATTAATGGTCATGGATTGATGCGATAGCAAAAGTTAGATTATCAATGAAAACATGAAAAAATGTTGTTTTATAGCGTTAGAGCAGTCGGTTGCTGGCAACTATACGTGCTCAGTTAGTAATACATATGGAGATGATTCGATAACTTACACGTTAATTGTTGTTATGACACCAAGAGCGCCTACTTTAGAATTACAATATACTACTATCGACAGTATTAAACTTTATTGGAATCACCCGGACAACGGCGGAGCCAACATTCAAGGTTTGATGTTATTGAAACGCTAGCGAAATAAAAAAAAAAAAAAGAAAGTTGTACGACTAAAAATTTCATTGCAAAATTTCATGATATCCGAGCATAAGCAATTTTAATCACCATACATTAATACATGAGAAATCACTTGTTAAATAAAATAATTTTGCTACTTCGATTTGCACAGGTTATGTATTAAGTTATAAGAAAGATAAAGGCGGATGGGAGGAAATTGCCTTATCTCCAGAACATACGGAATTGTCCTTAACTGGACTCAAATGCGGATCATCGTATGTTGCCCACTTAACGGCGCAAAACCGTGTTGGCACTGGAGATCCCAGTCCATTGATAAGCGCTACCACGAAGGGCACAGGTAATTATCACACTTATGTGACGTCGTCCCTCCTGCCCCTTATCAAGCACCATACCATCGCTCTATCTCCATAAACTATAAATATTTTATCTCTGAGCGTGCAATCGCGATTGCTTATCGGTAGGGTTTTCGATGCAGTAGGAATTTACTATATCACACGAGGTTAATTGGAAATGGCAAGTCGAAGCTTATGGCTTATAATATCCGTTAGACGAATATTGTTGGCTATCGAAGCATTATTACGTAGTCGATTTCCGTTTATTTATACTTTATCATTAAAATGGAATGAATGTAGGATAAAAAGTAGCCTAAACCCTTAATAATAGTAGCAGAATGCTTTGCTTGTCCATTATATGTTTTAAGAAATAACGCAAATTTCAGCTCCGCTAATACCGAAAGAGCGAGACACAGTTATTGCCAATGCGACGTCGGTGCGCCTCTACCTATTAAATTGGCCAAACGGTGATTGTCCTATCGACTACTACACCGTAGAGTTTCGTAAAAAGATGGTCACGGAACAATGGAATCTTGTTACCAGTCAGGCAACGGACAACATCATCATCCGAGACCTGAAACCTGCGACCTGGTACAGCCTGAGACTGACAGCGCACAACGACGCCGGATCGACGCAAGCACTCATGGACTTCGCAACAACGACTATTAGTGGCGTAAGCATCGGGCCACCCGACGACCTTATCACGGACGAGAACTCGATAAGGTCGGCTTCAAGCTACAAGGTCATCTACGTTGTTATCCCCCTGATCTGCGCGATCATCCTCATCATATCTGCCGTTGTTCTCGGCTACGTCATGCTCAAGCGTAACGGCAGGTCGGTTATTTGCTCCTCTTATTATCCTAAAGCCCGCTGATTCATAACGCGAAATCGTAAAAAAAAAAAAAATCGTATTTATAATAAAATTTGTTACGATACGAAAAGATTTACGTTGGTTTTGGTATTATTTTCATTCCAGCTAGAATTACATATATTACATTACGATCGTCGATTCTGAGCATTAAATTTTTTTCTGTTACTTTGGATTGACATTTAGTTTAAATTTAAATTCGAATCATTAGTTTCTTTCGTCGTAACATCGAGCTTGTAATTCAAACTATATTCGTGCCTTTGATCATCGTTCTTAAAAAAATTTTCTCTTCGCAAGTTCCAATCGTTCAGCAATATCTTCTACGAAATAAGCATTGAAAAATATTATTAATTATAACATATTACTGAATTAATATGTTCGATAAAAAAAATTTTTTTTTTTTTTTTGTTAAATTCAGAGGTTCTTATTTAGGAGATATCTTACCTGGGCAACAACAAACTGGATTAGGCATAAATGCACAGCATCAAGTGCATCATCATCTATCAAATTGTATGTCCACGGTTCAAATGAAATCAACGGCTGAAAGGGACAACAGGCGAAATCATCAAGTCTATACAAGTTCACCGGTTAAGCAAGATAATCATAAGCCACCTGTAGATCATGGATCTGGTAAGACTTTGCTTTTAAATGGGGAAAGCGGAGGAAAGAGCACGTAGATGTATCCAATTAAATAGCATTTTTATAATTAAATACAATAAATTTTAAATTAATAAGAATTCATGTAAATTAATGCAAAATTATCCATAGAAATGTACGAAATCAGTCCGTACGCAACATTTAGTGTACCCGGAAGAGAAAATCGATCCGTCACAACGGCCACCCTGGACTACACGATGCAATTCAAGACGTTTGGCCATTTAGAGAACGAAGATATCAACACTATCGATTACGAACGCTCGAGCGTGGATTTTGAGAGGTAATGCGTACCGAGGGAACCTAATTGCTAAAATAAAAGAATAAATTCTTATATTATTTAGATCGAAAACACCAAGGTGGCACAAGCAAAGATACTTTCCGAGTATCGCGGAAACGGAGAGTAAGATGAGGAACAATCGTCAAGGATCGGGTAGTGACACGTCAGGTAGTCCTTGCGGAGAGTGCGCCGGGCCTAGTTACAGAGTTCCCGTTAAACCGTGCAGAGGTAATATTTCCAAATCCGTCGCACGCGTTTAACTAACGATATAGAAGAACTGGACTGCTTGAATAATTTGATAACATTTGAGAACGACTATGGCATTGACGAGACTGGCGCTATTATTTATATAAATTTTCAGTAGCGTTTATTAACAATATATTTTCTTTTTGTGAGCCGTAATGATGACGTTGACGATGACGACTAGGATGACGAGGACGAGGACGATGATAATGACGAGGAAGATGACGACGACGACGACGACGACGACGACGACGACGGCGACGATCCTTTTAGTTATATATAAAATACTTTATTGTAGCTTTATTATACAAGCACATAAATATTCGGATACTTAAAGAATCTGTTTACCGATGCGCAATGTTCACTTAAATTTCTCGAAAAATACACTAGATGTGTTTTCGCGTGGTGTGGAGTCAAGCACCGAATCCAACAACGAAGGCTCGCCATCACTGGCAAGGCGTCGCAATCGTCAACCTAGCGGCCGTTCGAGTCGAAGGTAGCCAAGGTTTGTTTGACTTCACATAGCACTCACAGTTCTATAATTGTCTCCGGTTCCTCTTTCGATTTATTTCATTGTTCATCGTTCGCTTCACAAGAATGCTAAGCGTACACGCAAGAGTTCCACTTTATTCCCATTTTTTGTTATCGCTTCCAGTTATTATACGCCTAGTTAATTCGCCTCGAGGTTCATTAATTGTATTATTAAAGAAAAATAATAACAACAACAACAACAACAACAACAACAACAACAACAACAACAACAATTATAATCGGTAATGACTGAGCTGCGATGAGAAATCACAGTGGGATCTCCATTCCCCCCCCCCCACTCCCGGTACATTTATCGACAAATTTGCAATATAAGTCGCGACATATTTCTTAATGCTCGATCAATGTAAACGTTTCCAAGGACCAATTATAATAAGAGCATAGCAATGTCGAAATTAGCTAGCATCTATACAGCTGCTAATTAATGAAAAATGCTTTCGTTATGCTCTAGCTGCTTGAAATTAAAACGATTGCATCGACCGTTATTACGCGCGTACGGGGTTACGTGGAAATTGTTTTAAATTCATGAAAGCAGAATACAGAGTCAAGGATAAAATTCGGATAGCCAACGATATAACAAACTCCAATCGTACATTTGCTTTACCAATGGCATCCAATCCCAATAAATAATCATAACAGCATATTTGCATAATCGCGTTTGCATGATAAAGTAGTTGTCATTAAGTGTGACGAGCCTTACGTACTTATTGAGCAGACTGCTTGCATTGTTTATTTGTTCTTGCACCGGCTACGTGCAGTTCTGTGGAGGACCTGACGCTGCTGCCGCCATGCGGTTTCAGCGATAGCCGCGAACTGATCGAAGGAGATTGCGAGCGAAGTAGCGAAAATCGCGATTGGCAGGGGCAGTCCATCGGTATTCGTCACGGCGGCAGCCTCGGCAGACTACCCATCGAGGCTGTTGAGAGTATGTTTGCTAGGTAATGCTTTACCAATTTTCCCATACCATTTTTCCATAACCCGCTATGGCCTTTAAGCATGGCGAACGTACTGTATACTTGCAGAGCTGACGTTTATTTTAATATTTGTCTATAAATAGTATTTTGAACTTGCTAGACTTTGCAATGACGTTTGTTTAGTCGGTGTTGACACGCTACGTGAATATACTCCGCTGCATTTTTAGCGCGATTTTCTATCTAAGCATTAAGAACTCGGAATACCAGGATTTAACGAAAATTGACAATTATCCGACAATTGTTAATGATGTGCAATTATCAGGCAGAGAGCTTAGGCTAAAAAAAGAATTTGTTTTGACGTGAATGCTTTAGCTTCATTGCTCTCGCTTATTATGTGTTTAAGTATTAAATTATGCTGTGTGATACTTCAAATTGCTCATGCGAAACGAAAACGTGTATATTATTTGAAGAAAAAAATTGAAAGAAAAATTCATGCCAAAGGACATATGAAGAATTATTTAACGTTTCTATTCATTGGGCGCAATAAATTATTCGCATGAATGGTTCAATCGATAGCAATTGCACTTTATAATTCAACAATAAATATACCGTATTTCAAGAAACATGCAATAGAATATATAAATATCCGTATAAGATAATTTCAAATCACTCGTTAAAATCATTCCTTAGAATACGATTCGTTTGTACGTTCAAAACCAATAATTGGTTTGTTTCTTTTTTCTTTTCTTTTTTTTTCTTTTTTTTTTTTTTTTTTGCAATACTTTTTCACTTATTTTTAAGAAAATTTAAACTGGACGATAATTAAAATTTTTAAATATTACCACCTTTTTTTTCAACTTTTTGTCATTAGACGCGAGTTTTAATTTCAAAAACTTTCAACAACAAATTCATTACGAACTTACATAACGAATTATTATTGGAATTTTCGCGTAATATATAATGATAATTTTACTTATCTAATTTGAATATTTCGACAATATGCGACTCAGCATCTCATCAAATAAACTAAGTAATGTTCAAATGATAAAAACATAAATAACTACTAACGAATTATATTATCTAATATATAGATTTTATATTGGCTTTATATATTAAATGTATGTATGTTTTTTTTTTTTTTTTGTGGAACATATTTTTAATATTCATTTTATTTTTCTATTCTTTATTATTTAAGAAAATATTCTACTATTTTCAACATAACATAAAATGTTCGATATTTTGTATAGTGTATATAATAGTATTTTTTTAGTACATAATACAAATCATATAATTTCATTTAAATTTATGGGTTAATTAAATCATATTCATAAAGACTATCTAAATTTTTCATAAAAAGAGGATTTTATCTTAATTTAATTTCATATATATCCGTTCACGTGCAGAATAGATGATTAGCCAAAAGTCGTAATACTTAATTAATTAATTTTAATTTCCACGAATAATAAGCTGAAATGAAAGAATTGTAATAGTCTTTAGAATAATCATTTTATCAAATATCTTATTGACGACAATGGCTGCGGAAACTCAAATGACAATATGAAAAAAAAAAAAAAAAAAATTCATAATCTACAGATATAAAAATATTTCTTAAATTGTTTAACGAATTTGTCAACTATTTTTAACTTATTTACATCTTTTGCTTTAAGATTTTAATCTTAAAAAAGTGTTTTCGTATTACAGTTTCATGGAGAGATTGTAAATTACGACAACATAATCGAGAAGAAGGTGAGCACGGAAGTGAAATTTATTTTAAAAATAATATTTCGTGCGCGCCCTTATCCCCCACTTCGTTACAACTTCACGTTTAAAAAAAAAAAAAAAAAAAAAAAAAAAAAATCGTTATAGGCTAGTATCGCATTGCATTCCAAAGACATACTAATCATGAAACAAAGTAGTAAACCTAATTGTACTTTAAAAAGGTCGGAATTTTAAACGAGTAATCTATCTTTAACGAGGAGAATGAGTCAAACTCTTCAAAGACAATTGGCGCAAGTAACTCGAGCGAAAACAAAAGCTTAGGCACAAAGGCTAGAAAACGAGCTTTTCAACATTCAAAATTATGCGGATCGCGTGCAGCTACGGAATAATAATAATACCGACCAACTATATTACGACCAGAGCTATAATCGTGCGAGACTAAGTAAACTGAGCGGCACTAGTATCATTCTTACAAAAATGTTGCACGTGTCATGGCAGATGTAGTGAGTCTTGTATTTAGAATTCCTTTCGCAATAAAAGAATAAGAAATATCTACAAAAACATTCGGTGAATTTTACTCCTTAGTTATGTGAATATTTGGTAAAATAAAAAAAAAAAATTGACATAAAAGATTTTAGATTCAAGCTTTTTCGTGCATGGAAATATGTATAAATAAACATATCTATATACGAATAAGAGAACTTAGTAGTAAATTTTGAATTCCTTAAACTCCTAATGGTAAATTACAATAAAGTAGCACTTACTTAACTTACGTAACACAATTCTTGCATGCAATTCTATTCATTGACAAACTTATTGGGCGTATTTCGAATTTTCGGTATTGCGGCTTCTCACAATATTTTGGAAATCAATAAAATAACTATTCACTGCAAATAAAATTCTTTCTAATATATAGTCTATACTATTCATTTGTTTGTAATGTAATGATATTTATATTTATCAATATAATTCGATATTTATCGATAAATCTAAAAATTGTTGATATTTCATAAGGAAAGTGTTTATAAAAATGAGCAGCAATTTTAAATTCATATTTCATTCTTCTAATAAATGAAAAATTTTAATTAAATTTAATTGACTACTACGCTTATAACAACAAGACTATTTTTCCAATTACAACATTTAATAAACATATAATTTTTGTCACGGTTATTTCTAATACGTATTCCTATTTATTTATTAACATTAATTTATTGGATTGTTTATTTATATTTTAGCATTTATAAAAATCATAATGCTAGTACGCTTTGGACAATATGTTATTTCTTTACAGTTCTCGATTAATACTACTAATATCGTTAGTACATTAATATAGATCTTTTAATAATAATTATTTATAAAAATATATACGAATCAAACGTTCATATTTATTTACATAATATAAGACGGTATAAGTAAACAACTATTGCCTTATATAAATAAAAAAATTTTTAATATTTAATATAATTGAATGTATTTTACAAATGAATATTCATCTATATTAATATACATAATATGTTAGTTGAATACCTTATTTTAAAAATTCAATACGCTTAAAAGTATTTTTAAAGACGGTCCATCAGATTTTTATCGAAAATATAATTAAACTTATAATATCACGAAAGTAACGTAAAAATAACTTCAATATATAATACTTATATTTATATTTAATAACTATAATTATAATAATTTTATAATTTTATAAATATATTACATTAATAACAAAAGATATATTATTGAAAGTGGTAAATTAAAATTTTCAGGCAACAGCAACGAAAGCAGCAAGAAAGACAAGAATTTACAATACATGTTTGATCAACTCTTCAACTATTTAAAAATTTTATTATTTCAACAACTTTATTAACAAGGATAAAAATTTGTTTAACTGATTGTCAGTGTTAGAAGATGCTAAAAGTTAATTTTTATATTTATCTGCGTTAATACGAAAATGTGTCAATTGAATTACCGATGAACTGCCTCGCATATATAAACAGATGAATTTTTGTGCATGAAATCTTGTTTATAACGTGAAAAAATTTTAAAGTCATTCCATTAAGTAATCTACAACTTTTTCAATATATTAAAACTACTATAAATAGTTAAATTTATTATAAATGAAAGTTATATTATATTATAAAAATTGGCTAATTTCATTTTTAGTACATAGATAAATTAGTCAATAACATGGTTCTTGTAAACTCAATTAAAAGAAAAAAAAAATGGATAATATAAGCATGATGATAAATAACGACGATATTACGTGATGTTACGTAATATTTTTAACATTTTACAACTACCAAAATTTCATTCAAAACCATACCAAAATTCAGTAAATTTCATTATTGACTTTTCAACTCAATATAAAAGACTACGGACCTTTTGTCTAATTATCAATCAATTTTTAACAATGAAAGTTTCTTATAAGTAATTTTCTCTTACATTAAATAATGCTTGTGTAAAGAGAAAAATATCTCTAACATATTCTCACAATGTGGCGATGTACAAATGCGCCACATTAATTTTGTCTCATTTTTTATTGTCAAAAATTTTTGATAAATTGTATTTGATATAAAATTTATTGTAGATTTATTGTGTTTCCATGTTTTGTACATAAATGATATGATAACAAATGTTTCTACTATAAAAAATTTATTTGCAATAAAGGCTTTTAAAATTCCTCTACCACTTTAAAAACTGTTAATAATACAGAGGTGAATAATTTCAAGTACGAAGTAGTGTATCCATTTTGATTATTACATTATATTTTTCATTTAAAATATTAAATGACTCATTAATAAAATAACTATATATATATGTTTGTTTTTTACAATCATGTAACTTTATATAAATTATATAAAGTGAGCGAATATGTTATAGAAAAATTTCAAGCGAATCTAAAAAAAAACGTCGTTGTACAAAAATTCATTATAAATAAATCTTTTAAAAGTTTAATATTTATTTATAATTTACATAATTATTGATTTTATATTAATAATAAACATAAATTTATATTGAATAATATTATATGTCGAGTATTTATTTTTGTCATCTTTATTTATTTGTTTTTTGTTGTTGTTGTTGTTTTTATCTTTATTTTTGTATTTAATCAACTATTTCAATTTTAATTTAATTTAATTTAATTTAATATATTCTTATATAGCCATAGCTACTGTACTGCAAAAAAATGTGAATTTCTAAATAGCAGGTAATTAAATCATAATAATAAATAATAACAATATAAATATGACAATTTTATATTTTGAGTATGATATATGGAATCAGGAATAAAATAATTTTACAAATAAAATTTCTTTTTAATCTTGAATTATATTAACATTTATATTTCTATTTGAGTTGTCAATTTTTCTCTCTATGTTTATTTACATTATTTCATTATTTATGATTCATACAATTTAAACAAAAATGTATATTACTTAACAAGATTTGGTGCAATGGCTTAATTAAAAATATGAACGCCGTAAACTTTGTTTTAATGATACAAATTATAAAGCTTTATTTCGAATAATTTGTAATTATTTATAATAGCAATCAAATAATTATAACGACTGGATATATATATATATATATATTATTTAAATTATTATTGGATTTAAAAAATAAAAATGGTTAAATTACCAGCAGATGTCTAATGAAGAACGAGTTAATTGAAGTAGATACCGATTAATAATGAACTGGTATAATACTATTTAGATTAATAATTAATTAAAATTATTACAGAATATGATTATTGTTAAACTAAATTTTGATGACATTTGAAAGACATAAGTAACTTAAAAGAATATGATTTCTTGACACTTAACTCATTAAAAAGAAAAAACAATATTTTTGATCTATACATTATCGATTTCTAATATTCATCGAAGATTATAATTCTTATACTTTAACTATATATTTTATATATTATTTATAATATAGATTTATTATTGGCTGTTGAATGTTCAGTTAATATTCTAATAGCCAATATGATAATTCACCAATCATTCAAGAAAAAAAAATACTAGAGCCATATATTTTTATATTTTGAAGCTTAATTAATTATTCATAAGAATGTATTTAATTTAATGAAATATTATTGTTGATTAAAAATAATTATTTGTAATCTTAAATAAAACACGATTGCCTATTTTGAGAATATTATATAAGTACTTATATTGAAATTGTAATTATATGGAAATTATTTGGCGATGCGCAAGATAATATTGATTATATAAACTATATCGATACGTGATTTATAAAAACTATTACTTCAATTATTTAGTAATTGAATTATTTATAATTTAAATATTATTTCAAAATACTTAGTCATACTTCATGTATTACTGCGGTAGTTTAGTCAGTAATGATTTTAAGTAAAGACTTAAACGAATTTACATATTCGCACTTCATAAATTGCGTCAATATATTAAGTCATTTCATGAAACATTTATAAAGTAAGTTAAATAAATAAATATGTGACAAAAAAAAAATTTTTTCAAAACAGTGTTATAATATCAAAGTATACGATCAGATAAATATTAAATAAACTGGGAACGATTAAAGTTGTTTTGAGAAAGCCGGAAGGTCAAACTATAGGTAATAATTTCGAATTGAAACTTGTTGTTACAGGAAAAAAACAAGAATATTTATCATTGATCGTATCGTTGATTAATTTATGTCAGGACAATCAAATTTCAGATTTCGAAATGATCATAATATGGTCTTATTAGTGTAGATTTTTTTGCATTCTAGATTACACTTGCAACGATTGTGTTGAAACAATTTTTATATTGGCTAATTATATCATGGATTGAAGTTTCAGAGTTGTAATTCGATTATAATTGAATTAGAATTTTACGATGCTATAAGATATATTTTATAAACACCGTGAATATTATTATTAATTAAATATACAATACATTTATATTCTAAGTTAAAATATATAATAAGTTTCCATTCAATATTACAGATTTATTATCGTATAATAAATAGTATTTTCTTCTACTAATCATTGAACTTCATTTTTAATATGCAAAATAATGTTTCAGTATTAAAATTAAAGTCAATAATATGTGTTATAAAAATACAAAAATTTTCAATCTAAACGATGCAACTAAAAGTTTAATAACAATAAATAAAGAAGCGTTACGCCTAGCATTAAACTTTATTGAGCGAGAAATTTAAGCTCGATACTTCAAGCTATACCTATTCGAAAATTGATTAAATAACATTTACCTACACTCTTTTTTCATTAGGCTTAATTTAATTTCATTTAATTCGATTTTATACGTGGGTTTCTCTGTCTCTCTGTCTCTGTCTCTGTCTGTCTGTCTGCCTGTCTGCCTGTCACTCTCTCTCTCTCTCTCTCTCTCTCTCTCTCTCACTCACTCACTCTCTATGCGTACAACCCATCGGTATTATACAATGTCATTATTCGATAGGATAATTTAAAGTTGATGGCTTGATTCGATAAAGGAAAACTTGTTTGCGAGTGCAAACTCATTAATTGGCGATGAAAATGATCATGCGGAACTTAGTTTAAACCATCATCGCGTGAAACCTGCCTCTAACAACGATGATAAAAGAGCTTGAGCATTCCACTGGCTTCCAAAAGAAATGAAATGTCGATTTTAGCCATCAACACGTCTGCACAACTGACGTGCCCCAAAGCTCTGAGCGAGCTGTCGTAATTCGCACAGCTATAATGACGAGTGAGGAGCTACAATTTGCTCCTCCTACCCGTATCGATCAAACTATCAGCAGCACAGCAGCGACTATACCAGAATCGTCGCGTCGTGGGCCGAGGTGCGACTAGGCTACACCACCAGTCATGGACGCGTGTTTCACTACATTTGATGAGGATAAGGACGGTTTCATTTCCATCCCGGAGTTCGGGCTAATTTGCAGAGCTCTCTTTCGCAATGATCGGGGCAAAGTCTATGAGCTGGAAGAGGATCGATTGACGGAAATTTTTGGCGTGTTCGATACCGATAGCAATGGTTTAATCGACAGGAAGGAATTCGAGGTACGTCGCGTGACAACCTGCGCATGATCACTATTTACTATAGGGGTTATGCTCCATGCCCCATCTAATAGAATTGTATAGATTTTCATTTTTCGGCATATTTATTATATTGTCGGGATTAAATATCGTTGCACTTTTTATTAGATAGACTATAGTTACGTAACTCGTTATGTATGATCAATGCCGATTATGTCAGTGGTTTAATTGTCTATTCCGTTATTGAATTTGAGAGACTCATTTTATTTGAATAAATCGGATTTACCGAATAATTCACATAATTTGTTAATGCAACGTGACTTTAGTCAAATTAATTTTATTATTAAAATGGTCGGATTGGTAAAACAAACAAAACAAACAAAACAAAAAAAGAAAAAAAAATACATATAAAAGTAATTATATGATTAAATAGAAAAGAGGTACATCGTGTGATCAAATTCTACAGCAGAAGCTGATTTCATCGACTTTCCAAAATAGTGAAATACATTGAAAAGATAATTTTATGAAAGAAAAAATAATAAATTTCCAAATTAGTACAAATTACAAATTAGCTACAAGGTATTCCAATTAATAGATTAATTGTAATTTTAACGGATTATTCGTATTATTTCAAATACTATTACTATTAAGAATGAATTTTATGAAATATTTTATAAGCTTCGCTATTCTGAATTAAAAAATTTTCAAATTTTTTATATTTCATATTATTTTAATAGAAAATGTAGCAAAATTATATGAATTATTAATCTTAAAAGAAAAGTAAAAGTAAAATATTGATATTATAGTGTGAATATTCTACTCTAATGACAATGCAACTATCAACAAGAGGTTACTATTATTTACGACATTATTATTTATAACATTTTTTTTTTTTAATTTCAATACTTTGTTCCATGAAAATACAATTGATATTTGTAAAATAGCGTCTTATCGAAACAGATGTAATATATAAAATTATTAAATCACTTGAACTATATGTAGCGTATGAAATTAATAGTATGCATAAACTAATAATAATATACAAAAATAGAATAAAAAACATAAAATAATAACAATAACAACAACAACAACAGTAATAATAATAATAATAGATAATACATAATACATAAATGTAACGCCTAATTTATGAAAATATTAAAACATATTTTTCTCAACATGGAATTCCAAATAAATAGTATTTAATGCTAGCGGAACAAATGTTGAACATTCTACAATAATCTATAACAATAACTTGATTTAATCGAATTTCAGACCTGCTGGAACGACTGGATTAAAGTATGTACCAGACCGAAAAGCGCCTTCCTCATCGTCGACGTACAAAATGACTTTATTTCTGGCTCACTAAATATAAAAAAGTGTGCTGCAAGACACGATGGCTCAGAAGTTATCGAACCCATAAATAAACTTCTAGATAATGTACCATTTGATGCTGTCTTTTATTCCCTTGACTGGCATCCAGTTGATCATGTGTCTTTCATCGATAATCTACATTTGCGGTATGTTTCGGAAAAATGTAAAAAAAAAAACAAAAAACAAAAAAAAAAAAAAAAAAGAAGAAAAAAAAAAAAAAAAAACTTAAAAATATAAACAATTCGTCTCGATTGATCGAGCCATAGGGAATGTTATTAATTTAAAAGTGATTATAATTTTTTAACGTTAAATAATATAATGTACAGTGATATTATTATGTTTAGATAATATAAGTTTATAAGTAAATTCCAAGTATTTGTAAGAAAATTGCGTACACTGCGTAACGTAGAAGTTAAAGATATTTTTAACGAGGCATGTGAAGGAATGATTTTGATGTATCAATCAATCAATAGCTAATATAGCTCAAGTATTCTCAAATAGTAATTAATGTAATCAAATGACTGAAGTCTCTAAAAAAAAAAAGGCAATACTAAATAAAATGTACATATATATATTATCAATGAGCTCATTAGTCGATGCAAATGAAAAGCCGTACTTTCAAAATCATTAATATTTATCAATCAGCAAGAATAATATCTCTATTATATATTTATTCATTAATAAATATATAACTGTAAAGTTAAAAAGTCTAATAAAATTAACATATATTATAGAATTTTTATGAATTATGAAGATTTGAGATATTATTATGCATAATATACGTGTACTAATGCAAGCATTGGAATAAAGTTTAAATTTTTTAATTAAATATTTTTAATATATATTAGCTTGTACAAAAAAAAAAAATTTTTAATGATATCCTTCTACAGACATGCCTTCCTTTCACTTTTACTTATTAATTACACTTGTACGCTATTATACCATACATCGAGTAATTATTATTTAGCAACTCTTTATATCGATATTCGACTTGTCAAGCCATACATTAAAAATATCTAAAATCTGACCTTACAATCACTAGCTAACAAAGTATTATATTATCGCGTGATACCGATAAAAAGTAAAATAATGAAAGGGCCGTAAAAATAATCAATTACTTAGAGCATCAATCGGCAATTGTACAATGTCGTTGGCTCGGTTATGTTTAGTGAGCTGGACGAATCTAGCGGTGTTGCAAAAGAGGAAGCGCGAGTCTACGACACGGTGACATTCAAGGGGCCACCGATGCTGAAACAGCGACTCTGGCCCCGACATTGTGTCCAAGACACGTGGGGCGCCGAACTGCACAAGGACCTGAAAGTCATCGAGCACGGCGTGAAGATCTATAAGGGCACAAACCCCGAGGTCGACTCCTACTCCGTATTCTGGGATAACAAGAAGCTCACCGAGACATCACTGTCGTCCCAATTACAGGAGAAAGGGGCCACGGATATCTACGTGTGCGGGGTGGCTTACGATGTGTGCGTCGGTGCGACCGCTATCGACGCCCTGACCAGTGGCTATCGCACGATTCTCATCGACGATTGCAGCCGAGGTGTCGACCTTGTTGATATCGAAAAGACTAAGGGAACGGTAATAGGTAGCAGTGGTGTTATCGTCACCTCGAGCCAGGTCAAGGCCATGGTCGAGGGTAGAGATCGTAGACCCGAATTAGGATACAAGCTTGCGATGGAGATCAAGAGAAAGGCTAAGAAGCTTAGCTCCGATATTAAAACTATGGACCATTGAGTCGCCTATGTGCTTGTGCATTGCAATTAGAGACTAAGCACTTTGCGCCTATCGGTTAGTCACCTTTTCGATAAGTTTGGCTTTTATTAAATGATATTATATATCCATAATGACTAGCTGCTGACTTTTAAATTAGCGCTTTTTCTTTTCTCGGTATGATAAATAATTCATATTCATTACAAGCATACAAATTTAAATCCTCTAGAATAATTGTACCATATTATTGTTAAAATTCTCTTTAAATAGCAGTGCAGATAAAATTCGGTTAATTTAATTGCTTCCCCATGCAATAATTCAGGTAGATTATTCGTAATTATATTATTTGTGAATAGCGAAATAATTACACGGAAAAACTTATTATCTCGGACAAAAAAGCCTTACTAATTCTATTCACTTAATATTCATAAAAAAAAAAATTTATGAATATCAAACATAATTAATTGCATTTTTAACGCACAAAAAGAAATTATAACAAAGCAGATACTTAAAATGACTAATATTATAATTCGAAATCTCTTATATTAATGAAGTTATGTTAAATAAATATTAAAAAATGTATTATAAAACGAACACGATTATAAAATAGATTATCGAATGCCGTAATTTTATTTACTCGGGAATAAAATATTAAAATACCTCTTTACCTATACATAATTTATATATTCTTATAATTTCATTAAATTTCAAAAAAAATAAAAAAAATTATATGAATTAATTAATTATACTTTGTTTTCTATATGATTTTTCAATATAATTTCTTACATGACTTAATGATTCAATCTGATTATTAGTTGCAACAACACTGATAATAAAACAATATGGCGATAAAACCTTCAAATGCCGTAAACACATTCATTGCCAATAAATATATATTTATTAATAATTATATATAATTATAATAATTATATTAATTCTATTTTTTAAATAATAAATATATATATATATATATATATATATATATATATATATATACATATATTTTTTTTTTTTTAATTTTTTAATAAAACTGTATTATTAATGACAATAGACGCTCCAACTCTATTAAGATAAAATCTATGTTTTACTCTATTTCTATTATTGTTGAAAAATATAAATACGTAAATGGTAAACTGGAATGAAAATAAATTGTCAAAAATATTACGCTTGAAATATCATAAAAATTTTTATTAAATATACATAAAGTTGTTATACTTGAAATTATCTTAATATATAATTTGTTTAATTTAATTACTATAATATATTCTTAAAATAGATATACATTTTATTTAATAACATATTAGGTAAGTTCTGATTAATTTAACATTCTATATATTATATTTATATATATATGGTTTCATTTAATCCAAGTGAACTGTCGTGAAAATGTATTCATAATACGTACTCATGCGGAGTTAAATTTTGGTATTGTTTCTTGTAATACTTTGTAGCACAAATATTAACAAACTATTAAAATGTATATAATATTAAATTAAATATTCCATTTCATTCTTCTCTTTATTAAATCGTTATTCATTTTTTTTTCGTTTTTTTTATAGTGCTGCAATCTCATTAAACAATATAAAAAATTGGTCGTACATTATAAGCAAAATTTTGTATTGTAACTTTAATTTCTTCAAGCCTTTAAAATTAAAAAATATCAATCAAATAGAATTGGTGATACCGATTGTAATTGTTCGAATTGTCAGATAAATAATATGATCCATAAAAAACAAAAAGCTCTTAAAAAAGAATAGCACATTTAATTAAAAATTTTCTAAAGTTCTAAAGTTTTATTGTACGTCAATGTTATCATAATTTAATAAGTTATAAAACAATTGTTTATTTTTTATAAAATACAAATTTCGTTTAATTAAATGGAAATTAGAAGAACGCTGATGCACTTATTAATTAATCTCAATCTCAAGAATAGTTGAATGTACATTTAAATTTATCGTTCGAGTTTTACAATTCAAATTTCGTACAATACACAATGTAAAGGATATAAATGTCTTTATTGAATTACATAACGCAGTATATTCACGAAAATAATATAATACATGTTTATAAAATAAATTTCATTATTAAGATTTACTATATAATATTTTATTAAATAAATTTTAACGTAATAAAAATTTTATGAAAATAATTAAATTAATCGTTTTACCTGAAAATGAAGTTTTAAACTATATTATTTAAGGTTTCATATATATTTCTATCACAATATAAAAATTCGATATTTCGGTTTATCGACACCGTAGTAATAATAATTTAATATGAATTGGCAATAAATTATTCCTTCCTTAACATTATTGAGATATATGGCATTAAATGTGACAAAAAAAAACAAAAAACTAGTATTTTTTGAAAAAATTCAATTTTTCCAATTCAACTATAAATTTCATACTTTTATAAGTCACTTTTAAAAATAAAAGAAATATTTTACAAAAACATTATTTGCAAACTTAGCGTATTTCTATATTTACTAAAATATAAATGGAAACGAGCTTATGATTGTATAAGAAAAGTTGAAGAATTATAATATAAAAAATAAATCAATTATCATCTATCATCTAAATTATATCAAACAAATTTTCAGATTCTTTGAAAAATATTTGTTTAATTCTAAATCATATATTAGTTTCATATACATCGTTTTATATAATTGTCTATATATCTACAATAAATTTATTTAAATAACAAATAAATACAAATCATAGCACCGATAATGATACACTTTAAAAAAAATAATAAAAATATCTGTAATATTGATTCAAATAATAATACTTGATTTAAAATTTCAATGAAATGTAAAATTAGAAAAAAAAATTTAATAATCAAAAATCAAAAATGATAAAATTATAACATACATAAACGATGAACAATTGTAGAGCAATTAGGCAGCTTAACGATCGTTCATAAAATTTATTGGTGATTTAGAAAAATAATTAAGATAACTGCATTTTTGTTGACTTGCTATTATTTTTCCAACAATTTAGTAAACACTGTAGGTCAGTATTCGAAAATGTAAATTCTGAAGTGACATCTGGCTTAGACTTATCATCTATATTGTTATCGGGTATCATTTTATCAGCTATATGTTTAAAAATTAAACCGTCCTCTCCAACATAGAATATAGAATATCCATCGTACCAACTGAAATTCAAAAGGAATGAATTAATAATGTAAATGCAATGAGATTAATGGAAAAGTATAATAGAAATATACGTTTCAAGTTTCTCTAAGGATTTATTTAATTTAAAAATTTTAAATTTCCAAACTGCAAATAAAATATTAAAACCAGTTACTCCATTTATACGCCAACGCACTCTAACTGTATTATCTTCGGGATGCTTCGTTATCTTGAGAATTTCTAATTTAACGTATGCAAATTTAAGATGTCCAATGAATCTTAAGAAAGCTAATTGCTTAACGTATTGCGACACACCCCTATAATAAAAACCATGTATTAACAATTATAGGTAAACAAATATAAATAAATCTTTTAAAAGTTAATATGTCCATATGTACTAACGTAGAGACTGATCCCCTGAGATTATTAACAAACTCTATATCTCGATGGTAAATCATGTAATTCATTGATTTTGCAAAGAACATCGGTAACTAAAGTACAAGAAAAATTAAAAAAATAGATTAGCCTTATAGCTATGTCTGTTCCAAATGCAAAATTATTTTATACGAATAAACATAATGTAAATAAACACAAAAAATATTTACATCTATACTCAGTGTATCGTAAATATAATCTAGATGATCGATAGAAGGTTGCTTCTTCATGTTGGTTTGTATCGATAAAACATTTGCATTTTTAATATCCTTTTTCATAGCTAAACTATTATTATATGATGTAAGATGGTTAAAATTTTTGGTTCTATTTTTGGTATATATTCCTAAATTTATACAATTTTCTCTATAATTAACATAAGTCCAACTTTTTTCTTGATTACTAATTGACATTTGGGATTTGTGATGCACTATACTACTAGGGGAAATTAGTTGATTTTTTGTTAAAATACAAGAAATTTGTTTATTCTCTTTAGGAATATGAGAATCACCATTGTTACTAATAATGCTATGTTTTATAATATTAGTCCGGTAATAAAATGGATTGTCTTGTATACAACTGTAGTGGAAATTTGGACTATTCGACGATATTGCATTTTTTGAAAGATTCGTCGTTTTTCTAATTTGAACGGACAAATTTGAACAACTATTAGCATCTAAACACTAGAACAAATATATCTTTATTTTAATAATTATTTTAACAATATATAAACAAACATATTTCAATTATATATATTTAATACAAAGTACACAATATAATGAAAATAATAACACTTTTACACTACCATATTCCTATTATATAATAGTAATGAATTGAAATTCAACAAATTATGGTTTTTATTAAAGTTATTGTTAGTCTTTTAATACAGTACGTATTTGTACAAAAATTATCAAACCAGAATAACCGAACCTCGATAGACAATATGAAAATTTTACCTGGATTGAAATTGTTGATGTTACAAGAGGCTCCAGGTGTTTTAACAATTGTCGGTTACTAAAACCTCGTACATTACATACTTGCATACTTGCAACAAATGGAGAAACATATTTATTAGTGAACGCGATACCTCTTACGCAAAATAACATCTTTTATCGTCTTGCTCTTAGCTGATAAAGATAAAGCTTCTTTTGATGAGCAAATGGTAAAAAGAAAGCTCGAATCCTAAACTAAATTTATATTGCATACAAACGGCCAGCAGCGATACCAAAAATCATTCTGAAAAATAAATTGCGTATATCTTAATAGATTAACACTCTTGTAGGTTAGAATAATCTCTCTGCCGTATGTATTGTTCGTCCAAAAAATTAATTGCAAAACTTGTAGAGTTTCGAATATGACAGTAAATTGGATCTATTATATAAAATACACTAGAAATAATATTGTCTGCATAATTAATTACTTTTATCAAATTTCAAATTTAAAAAGCCGGTGAATTTGGCAATTCTATTTCCTAAGCCAATACGTAATTGTCTCACTAGTTATCTTTTTTCTGGCTTCGATCCACGAAATATTAAACTATTTTTGGAGTGATGGCGATATCATCACCCCAACTGCCTCGGAGTCTACAGTCTACACTTTACAGATCATTAATGTATGATCGATTCGCCAAAAAAATCTCAAACTAGTTACTGCTCACTCGAAAGAATCACTCAAATTTCAGACTTCAAAGTCGGTAAAAAAAATTGAACCTATTCGGGTTTTTTGGATTCTGCGCAGTCAAACTTCTTCTCGTTCGAATTTGTGCATTAATTTACTTTGCGAATTATTTTGAGAAAATAGTCGGTGTTTATAGTGCGCCGTTTTTCCATATAAACAACATCTCGATAAGTTCGCATTATGTATCACTGCATTAAAATTCTTTATTATTTGCAAAACGAAGATCGTCTATCGGATACGAGCACATGGGATCGATTAACAATAGCTAGTAAATAACGATAATGAAAACATTTACATAAAGCTCCGTTCGTATAAAAAATCCATTAGAAATATCGTACATATTACAATAAATTTGACCTTAATTCATAACAAAATTATAATTATACATTACACATATAAAAAATATATACAAGGTAATCACGGAGTAGATTCATGAATAATCAGGAATTTATAAATCCTTTGTAAATCCTTTTCTCACATGATATTATGAGGACGCAAAATGACAATAATTCATGGAAATTAATGGTTTAATAAAAAATAAACAGTATTTCATAAAAAAAATTAGATAAAAAATATGCCCAATTTGTTTTTATAACTTGAATTTACAAAACTTTAGCCTTAGAAGATTACAAAATGCTACTAAAGTAAATCTAAGTTAACTTTATGGTAAATTTTGCTTCTATTTTATTTCTTTTTGTTCGAGATTTGGAGAATCTCTCGGATATTATCAGTTGGAGAAAAATCCCAACGGCTATTACTTCAATAGAAATAATGAACGAACATAAACTTTGAAGAAAATTCTTCCCACGGTCGTTGGAGACTCGGAAAGGTCAGTACATCTGGAAAACACTCGTGAACGGTCATTTCTATTCTTTTTCAAATTACAAACGCGCCCATTGTTTTCCGTTGCGGTCAAACGATCTTGTTGCTTACTGGCAAGAACGCGTCGAGTCTGTTTATGCTAAAACATTTCGAGAGTGTCAGATATACGTAAACTATCGAGTAGAAAAACATTTCCAAAAATTCATTGCAACCTAAAACGGTGAATAACGGTGCGATATCGGGCAATCCTCGGCACACTTAGTCCCTTCAATGTCACGAGACACGATGCATACATTATTGTCAATTATGCCAAATATTGCCTCTCGCATGAGCCAAGCGACCAGGCTCAATCAAGAACCCCCCACGTCGATAAGTCCAAGAGAGGGTCGATCCTACCAATTGTAAGCATTGCCGCCGAAGATATTTTCTCGATGTTATCATTGGCAAAGCCTAAATTCCTCGAAAGTGGGAAAAGAGGCGGGCATGTTCAATCATGCTGCCCAAAAGTCACGTTCTGATTGGAGACAAAAAAGGGGAAGGGATCACAAGTGAATAGAATGGTCAGCGAATGTATTTAAAAGAGACAATTACAAGATTCACACACTCTCGATAAAGTCTTTATTCTTACTTTGGGAAGTGGTTGAGTGATTCAATTGGGAAAAGAGATGTAAAAAATTCCCTTATCGGAGTCCGAAGACAAGTACTAGTTGAAATCCTCATTGGAGAAGGAAGCGGTAAGTCCCTCAACCGAGTCCAAGATTAGTCCTCGTATGTCAGTGTCAACTATTTAGGTATCATTACCATTATTGAAGATGACAAAGGAGTCAAAGATGCCCGGTCATCGAGCATACATGAAGGATTGAGGCCGCCACCTCCCAGGTACACGCAAAATTATCTTAATTAATTTACTATTGTCTGTACTCAAGGAGAAGCCAGTGCCCCAAACACACGTAGCACGTGTCGACAAGTTTTTGCGCCGTTTACGCTCACCTTGTCGACCTAACCTACATACATTTTGTACATTTTTGGTCCTTCGAGCCGGATAGCTAGAGAAACGGTTCATCGGACATTTCTAGTCCTCTGAGCCGGATAAGTGGAAGTGAATGTATTCATCAGTATTCATACACGAAAGAACTTGTTGTGAAAGCAACAGATTTAATATCACTGTATTTATAGCAAATGGATAGTCTTGAATCTCCAAGACACTGTAAGTATTCGATAATAATTATTATTCTCTAACGTTATATTATTCAAGGAAAATGTCACAACACGAGAAAAAACAAACAAAGTAAACCAGTGCTGATGTATCCATCATAAGGAACACACACATGTTAAGGAAAACTGTGTAACTCGTAGCAGTGAAAAGAAAAAGTTCCATCAGAAGTCAATGTGAAAGCAAAAGGTCAGAGTAATCGTATGTTAGCGATGAAAGAGCTAGCAGACAAGTTCTTTGTTTCGCAATTGAATACATCCATCGATGATGTTACCATGACAAGAGACGACTTGATAGACGATATACACAAGGTCTTTGTCAAGGAGTACATCTACTTAGAACCAACATGGTCATCAGCACTGGATACCCATGAGTCTTTTACAAAGAATGTTCAAAGAGTTGATCACTTTATTAAAAATCAATATGGAATTTCTGAAATAAAATTCTTTTACAAATATTAATAATGTATTGTTACGCGCCAGACTAGTTTGCATCGAACATATAAAATGATAGAAGCTCAGCAACAGTTTAATCAAAAGGGAGTGAGAGAGAGAGAGAGAGAAAGAGATAGAAAGACAGAAGCGAAGTTAGCTGATGACACTTCCACTTTGTCAAAGGTATATAAGTGTTTACGAAACTCACTTTTAATTTACGACTATTACCGTTTGAATTGTCTATTCACGACAATTCTCTACATTTATATTAATTCTAAATCTGTAAATTGTACCGTATTTATTACATCCCATTTAATTGTTTGAGTCTTAAGATTGTACAATCTTGTAGATAGTATAATTCACAAAGAAGTAGAATAAGTCTGATTGATTACGTTTTAAGTCAACTAAGCAATTTTTTATTACTAATTCAGCATGAAGAAATATATTTTTATAAATTTTTAGTTTATAATCTAAATATTATTAAAATTGTACTTTATTTTTATAGGGTATCATTATTTAAGTACTTTAAAGGTTCATTTTTTAATAATTATTGATCGAATGATAACCTTAAGTTTGAATAGAATATTAAATTTTTTAATAAATAAATTAATTAAATTATTCACACTACTAAATTGCATTACTAATTTACTATTTCCTAACTAATAGTATATTTTATATAATTATTTTACTGTATGTATAAAATAAAATTTATATATGTACACTAATGTTTGCGCGCGCGCTCTCTCATCTGTGCATCTGTCAATATCCCGTTAGAGTAGGAAATTTCATTTTATTGGCTGTCCTAATAATTTTTAAAGTATTATATAAATCAAGACACTATATTACTGAGCTTATAAATTAAAAGGGATTTAATATATTTACAATTACAAATATTCAACTCAATATTTTATATATTGAGAATGAGAGAAAAATATTGGAAACCAAATATTGTAACAAAAAAAAACCGAATGGAAGTTCCAAAGAAAATAATAAGAGATTTATTTTGGCTTGAATATTTGATTGAGTTAAACACTACTTACATGTACATTATTATTCATATATAATGTGTATTCTATATTAAAAAGATTAAATTAATGTTAATATATTATTTTTCAAGATAAATATGCATAATTAAAAAACAGGAATTTTATTTTTTAATGTTTCTACATAAGGATACATAAATTTCAAATTAAATTTGATTACAAAAATAACTACTTAAACCAACTGAAACTACACCAATAATAAAAAAAAAGAAAGAAAGAAAGAACAATAGAAACATATTTACATAATAGAAAATTCGTACATTTTTATTAGTGATATAATTTTTAATAAAAATCGTTATTTGACACATATATTTATAATTAAATTTATATTTCAACTTAGCCACATTCTTACTATATAATACAGTTTTTATTAATTTCTATTATGAGAAGACGATCTTTTAAGAAATTTAAATAAATTGGAGAAGAAATAATTAGTAATATTAAACTAATTAATAAAGAAAATCTTTATTTTTTATTTTACCAATCAATATTTAACAGTAAATTATTATCTGTACATAATATAATCATGTTTCATTTACAAGAATTTATAAGGGAAATATTAAAATATATGGAGTGTATATATATATATATATATATATATATAAATAAAAAATACAGTGCGATTGCAATTATTTCTATTTTATGATCATTGAAATATAAATCACAAGCTATTGTTAATATATAATAATCAATATAAATATTTTTTATTTATCCTATTTGTCGCATACATATAATTCAATTGTTATAAATTAAATCAAAAATAAAATTTGTATAATACTCAATATTTAAGTGAACATTCACTTCTAACGTATTAACTGTATTTTTACGAAGTGGACAAGTTCCTTTATTTATTGCTATAATATTACCATTATATATGACTGGACCACCACTGTCTCCCTAAATATAATTAAAATTAAAATTCTTATGTATATTAATGATAAGAATGAATATGATATTTATATTTCGTTTATTTTTAACAATTTTCTTTTTCGGTAAATTATAATAAATCGAGTTAATGGTTAATGGACAAATACAGAGATACAGAGATACAGACTTAGATTGTCCGATGAATATAAATTATCAATTGCTATAGAATCATATCATGATTGAAACATTATTGATGTTTATACTTCCTATAGTATAAATACCACCCTAATTCCATGTCTCAATTGAAATATTTTAAAAATGATTCATTTATATTTTTATTAAGTAATAGCATATAGTATAATAAAAATAATACTGAATACTTGTCTCTTTAGTCGTTTATAAGAATTTATTTACACATACTCACATAGTTTAATAACACATATGGATCTGCAATACTGCACATATATATATCGTCCAAAGAAGCTGTTTCTTCCATAATATTGCTAATTCTAGTTTCACAATCATTTTTCGTTAGGATTATTGTCGTTGCCGTTTGTAAAATTTGAGAAACTGTATTATTATTTGATAAACCCCAACCAGCTATTGTAGCATTTCCTCCATAAAAATGAGTTGATGGCATCGGATTCAGAATTCCAGGTAATACGTAATAAGGTGTATATCCTATTATCTGAAAGAAATTCAATTTGAGCTTAGATATATTTAATATATCTTAGATATTAAAAACGCCTGAATAATTTGATTATAATTTAAATCAAAAAGTTGAGAAAACTTCAAACAACATCAAGAGTTTTAATAAATTCTACCAATGATTAGGCATCTATATTTTATCCGATATGTAACAGGTGTCTGATGTGCTATCATTATGAAACTCAAATAAACAAATATAATTATACAAGTTTAAATAGTAATTGAAGAAATTGAAGTAAAAATAAAAAAAAAAAACTCCATTATGGGAAGATTCATTGCGAAGGATTTTGCTTGAAAGAGCATGAGATGTTTTGTTCTTCGGTTTGTCTCTGTCTTAAATCATAAATAAATAGGAAATATATATAAGTAAATGGATTATAATTTATTAAGCAATAAAAGATCTTTTTTACAACACATTACCCTTGTGATAGCTATATCATTTTGATTAAATTTGATCTCTGCATTTCCATGTACAGCCCAATTATCATATGCCATCCACCAAGATGGATAAAATTTTGTAGCATTTAATAAATCGATCGATCCAATAAGTACTACAAAATTATTGCCATGTTGTAAATCATTAAAACAATGTTCGGACGTTAAAACATCTTCTGGAGAAATCAATGTACCACCACACATAAGGTCTTTTGTAATATCAAGTTCTTTATTAGTAATAATCATAATGGATACAATATATGAAAATTCATTTTGCGTTGCTTGTTTAATATTGTTACCAATTATTGGTTTTCCATTTGACAAATAATTGTAATTACCTTAAGAATATAAAAATTATTTTAATACTAAGGTAATACTATCCTAAGAATCATTTTTCAGTAAAAATTCAAAACAATTGTTTCTACTTACAAAATATTGTATATTGAATAAGCAATGTATATAGTTTGAACTCCATATCAAAAGAATCCGTACTAAAAATTATAGTAAAAATAAAATAACTATTACATTACTTGCGTAATTCGTAAATGACAAAGTTTTTTACCAACAATATTATTAATTATAGAGTCGGTATTGATAATAAATTAATAAAATATATTATTTGCAAACAAAATGTTTTCGCTTAGATTAAAGAATAAATAGATCTTAATAGTCTGAAATTACATATAAATATTTTAAATTATTAATATAAATATATAATTGTAAATATAAATATATTGAAAAATATTATTACTGAATCTTTTTTGACCAATTCAATATATAATATGTAATGCTATCATTTATTATTTTCATCTGAAAAAAAAATATCGTTAGTACAAATTTAAATAAACACATAATTTTATTAAATAAATGAAATAAGAATAATGCAATAATGCAAACATTTGCTATTTTTTACCTTTACGTTATGATAAAATAATTGAAATACTATTTTCATAAAAAAAAAACATGTATAATATTTATAAAATATATTCAGCAAATTTTTATTAAATTTAATATAATTAAATTCGAATAAATTTATGTGACACCGTGGTATGAACATTTTTATTTTCGTATTTTTAAAAGAAGTATGAGTAAATGTTGTTTAATGAATATAATAATCTTTATATAATACACGATTGAAAATTATAAGGGAATTAGGTAATTGTTTTACTCATAAAACAAAAACTTGTTATCATTTCGTTATAAAGCAATTAAAATCGGAACTTTAAAAAAATGTTTTTAATGTTTTCGATTACGAAATGAGAATTTCTAATCAATAAATAACCAAGTTAGAAATTTTGTGTGCTCATATGTGAAAAGAAAATTAAAAGAATTAATATTATGACAACTTAGTCTCCTTGATGAAGAATTTAACATAATCTAATAAGCATACAAAAATTTATATAATAAAATCAAAAGGTTATAATAATTATAAAGAAATATTAATAACTTAAATAATAATGAAAAAATGTAACGAGAAAAGGAAATAAAGATATTATTTAAAAGTTTCTTCTTCTATCTATAAATTTCACACACCTACTTAGTAAAAATCGATTTTTAAATGAATATGCTGATTTACACGGTAACAAGAAGTATTATAACAAATATCTTTAGAAACAATGTAGTATAATTTTTATTTTTACTAATTCTGCTTTTAGTTAAATTTTGTGTTTTAAATAACATTTTAATTCAACTAGTATTGCTTTATTTAATCAAAAAGCGAATTGGACGATAATGCGAAGGTCAATATAAAACAATGACTTGGTTTAACAATTGCTAAGAACCGAAGCAATAAATAATAAAGTTAGCCTAAACCATGAAGTGATCGAACCACATATAAAATTGCATCTATCAAAGAAATCATTTCGAATAGCGCATTGCAAGAAAATGAATCAAAAACTTACAAAAAAAAAAAAAAAGAGTAATTTAAAAGAACTACAGAAATGATAACTCGCAGTTCATTACTTAAAAAAAAAAAAAAAAAAAAAAACAGCTTTAAATAATCAATTAATCGCATACTAAATTCCTGATGAATGTATCCTATATAATAACTATTTAGCTATAAAATGAATTTATATTAAAATTTCCTACAGTCTAAATGCGTCTAAGTTTAATAAAAAAAAAAAAAAAAATGTAACTAATTATAACCTTCTAATAACTTATTGCATATATGTTTAAATAAAGAAAATATATATACAAATTATTTACCTGGACAAATACTAATTTATTGCTATAAAGTTAAAAGTACAAGAAAAATATTTTTACATAAATAATATTAATGTATTCAAGTAAAAACGATATAAATTTTCTTAAAACATGTTCGAAAATCATTAAATTTTAATCTATAATAATTTACACAACAGTTAAATTATTAGGTGGCATAATTAAATTTTTCAAGAAAAATTTTTAAAATTTTTTGTTTTAATTTATTTAAATATATTATCGAATCGTTTACAAAAATATAAATATTTATGTGATTCAAATTTAACGGAAAATTTCAAGTATCGAAATTTGAAGACTCGTGAATTGAAGTACATAATGTTGAAAGGTAATATATTGAAATACTTAAAAAAAAAAAAAAAAAAAAAAAAAAAAACTATATTCTTTATAAGTTTCTTTAAGTTGAAATTAAGCATTTTGAAGATAAAATTGAAATAAAATTCAGGTAATTATCGTGATAATATAATTACAAAACTTTAGAGTATACTAAACTTTCAAAAGATAAACGATAATATACACTACTTATATCAGTTATGATAGTTACATCAGAAAATATAGACTGTTTAAAAAATATTAGTATCTTACGCAAAATGCACTTACGTAAATAAATAAAGTAATTTTAAATATAATATTGTTTAAGCAGTATTGATTTGAATTTGTTGAATTATAATATCGAATAGAGCAGAGTTCACTGAAAAAAGCAAGAATGTTTTCCCTAAATCGTTACTCATGTTCTGTGAATATCAAAATATGACGTACCGAATATTAAGTAAAAATCAAGAAGCTTTTTTGATTGTAAGGAAATAACTTCAATAACTTAAAACACCATATAATTGTCTATCAGATGCTTTTTGATTCTTTGCCAAGTTTTTAAATAGCATATATTAAAGTTATAAAAACTAGGAGATATTTTGCGACAACAAAATTATATATTATATTATAAAAGATATATTGAGTTATAAAATTAATGAGCTTTAACAAATTGCCTTATCAATGTTCATTCAATGTTATTCAATCTGTTCTTACTATTTACAGTCAGATGGACAATTATTCTACGAGTGTGTAATTAAAGGTAGAACAGTATCAGTTCAATAAAGATAATACGATTCATTTGTGCATAATTATAATTCCACATATATCTAGGAGCTAGATTTTCATGTAAGATGTTTAACATCATTGTTATTAAAAAAAATAATAATAAAATAATTATTACGTTATTGCTATCATGCAATCATAAATTATCAAACTTTAATTATATTCAGGGAATGTAATATAAAAATATCCCTAAAAAATTTCAAATACTCTAGTAAATGGATATAGCATGTATGAACAAATGATATAAAGACTTCATTTACAATTAAGAAATGCTTATAAAATAATAATACTTCGAGATACTGAAAGGCTTCGATTAAAAAATAAATATGTTTAAGCACTGTGTATTTATGTATTTACAAATTCCGTAACCATCTGCAGTAAGACAATTATATACATTTATTAATTCTACGTATATTGCAATAATCATAATCTAAATCCTTCGTATCAACATTATAAATTTCTCTTCTGAAAGAACGTCAATTCATTTAAAGAGGAAATTTTTTCGTATATATTAATTTAATTTCTTTAAATATACTCACTCGCCATAGCGCAATACTCTTTTATCACAATTACGAAGCATACATATGCGCTTTCATGTCATACAGAATTACCTTACTCAGTCTCTCTCCTCTTTCAGTGCTTCAAGTGTTTTTAATACTTTTTAATTCAACGCACCACATTACACGAAAAGAACAATATTTGCAAGCTCTCTGAGTAGGGCCATTCTGATTCGTTTCATTTTTGTTTCGTATCAACGATTTTAACAAACTTTCGTTTAAAAAAAAGAATACGTATAGCAATCAATACACATAGGCATACGTACATATACGTTTTCATTCGTTTGTCGTTAAAAATTTTATACATTTAATTATATAATCCCAATAACTTCTTCTGATATTAAGATGATTAATTCATGTGGAAGACGTATTTTAAATTATATAGCTCCATTGAAATTTTAACTATCTATTAAAACAAAAACAAACAAAAAAAAAACAAAAAAAAACAAAACAAAGTTTTAATTAAACCCTACGTTACGATGAAATTTAATTATCTCTTATTTAATGTATACAATACATTTTTGTATCATTAAAAATTTTTTCCTAACTACTATATTAAATATACGTTTTACTATTTTAATTGTGAAATAAATAAATAATTTATAATTTTTATATAACATAGATTGTCCTTAGAGTTTTACAAATTTCCTAGGAAATTTAATTTAAATGCGTAGCTTCGTTTAATATTAATAAGCATGCAAAGCAATCGATAATTATACATATACAAAATAATAATGATATGTATACAAGGCAATGAACGTTTCAAACAATATTTTCATAAGCAAAATATGGTATGAAATTCGTACTACAAAGTACAATTTAAAAAGAGTCAGTGTAAAATTATTTAATATGGTATTTACATATTTTACGTATTAGTAATGAGTTAAATTTCGTTAATAGAAATTGAAACATATATTATATTAATGAAAGGATGAAAACTTAATAAGCAATATTACCTCCTTTAAAGCAAAAATATATTCATCATTAATTATAATATTGGAAAGTCTTTATACTATATATAGATATGTACTCCTTAAACTTATGTACACTTGATTCTATTTAAACTCGGCCATTTAGAGTTTGTTATGCCTTTTCAATTTGTTGAAATAATTTTTTTATTTTTTTATTATTTTATTATAGAACAATAAAATTTCATTACTATCAAATATAACATACAAAATTATTCGTACTGATGGAACATAAAATCTTTTGTGAAATAAATGTTTAAAAAATAATTTTTATAATATAATGGTAAAAGAATTATTAGATATTTAGAAAGTGAGTGACTGAGTTATATGAATAAGCAATTTTTAATTTTCTAAAACTATTCTAAATATTTATAAATATGTAAGTTTAGATACTCTGTGTTAGTCTCGTATATTACTCAAGTTTATTTGAGAAACATGAGATGAGAATAATAAGAGTTCTTCTGTGTTAAAGAAATGCCATAAAATTTCTCGTACTTATGTGCAAAATAAAACTGAACTAAATTGGTGTATTATTCAAATTTAAACATATTCGCACAGCTTTCTATTATTAATGTATGCTTAAAAAAATAAAATTATTTCAACAACTTCTTATTTACATCAGTTGGATTTCTTATTGTATAATCGAGCAATAGTTATTGGATTCTTTGTCGTTCGAATTGTCATTGGTTTACTTAAAAGCATCTATAATTAGCTGTCACAAAATTTTTAATTCATATTTAATATATTTTTTATAATACTTCGTAAATCTGCCTACTATACATGCTTTACTTATTATTGGGGCAACAATTTATAAAAATTACAAATACGCATATTAAACGTATTGAAGTAAACTACGAATACTAATTGATCTAATAAAAAAGTTAATCTATTAATATATAATTTTAACATTTATAAGATAATCTATTTCATAAAATATAAATATATATATATCAGTAAATTGTTTTTCCATTAACATTTATATAAATGTATATGTAAGGTATAAAAATAAATATTTATAAATAATTTTATTTATCGATAAAATATAGCAAAAGAAATTACTACTTTCGTTTTATTTTAGTTTCATTAATTTGTGTTTTTTTTTCGGTTTATATTTAATATTTATCTAAGCATTTGTACATCAGTACAATAACACTTATATAATTAAAATATTTAAATAGAAAACTTTGATCAAAATATTGGTGATTGATGTTGCATAAAATCTTTTATTTTTCATTATTTTATCAGAACAATAAATCTTTACAAGCTTTTTTTTTGTACTTTATTATAATAATATTGTTGATAATCAATAAACAACAAGTAATAAAATAATGCCTCTGTAAAATCTAAAATCTGTCTAGCTGTTCTAATAAATCAGCATGCTCAAGAGCATTTATATGTCTCATTTTACAACTGTATAATGTCATCTTCAAAGCCCTGAACAACAATACGTAGAATCAAAATAATAACGATTTTGTTATTAATATCGTTGTACGTTGTTTGTTAGGAGGATGATCTAATCGAAAGCAGCAGCGGTTGGTGCCACTTCCAGTAACATTTGGAGAAAAACATTTACGCCTTCTGTAAAGATAAATGTAATGTAAACTTAAATTCTTGTGAACATTTTTAATTTACTTTGAAATTATGGTTATTTATATTGTGATTATTATTGTTGTTATTATTGTTATTATTTCTAATTTATTTTCATTTAGTTTTCGTATAAAAGAATATTAATTTCTATAGTTTTTTAAGAGACTTCGTCTTGTTTATTATGAAAAGATATAAATATGATAATACTGATTTTAATTTTACTTCATCATATTTTACATTATTTTAATGCGCATTAAAGCGCACATCTGCTTATTATTCGCGAAATGATTTGGAGTAAATTAAACAACTAGATATATCTAATAACTAGAATAACATTATAATAAGAAAAGGTGAAGTTACTAAAAATAACTTTTATATGGAAAAATAGTCTAACAACTCCCCCAGAGCGGCTAATTGATTAATTAATTAATCTTTCTTGACATTTTAAAGAAGCCCTTTACAACTGTACTCGAACAACTTGTCACTAAAGAAAATTTTGCCGAATAATTGCATAAGCTTTCCATGTTATAAAATGTTCAAAGATCTTAACATTGAAGAAGACTTAAAAGTTTTCGTATTAAACATTTATTATGTCGTGATTATTAGATCGGTTAATATATTTGAAATTTGAGGTATGTCTTGCTCCTAGACGCGCTTTACCAATTTCTTACTACAGTCCCAAACTCGAAACTACATCAACTAGCAACTAATGACTTATTTTACGAAAAGCATTGTTTTATCATAAAAATGCATTCTTATTTTAAAATATGTTGCGCTCTACATGCAAAAGCTAAAAAATGTTCGGAAAAAAAGATTATACTCGTGAGCAAGTTTGGCGAGCGATTCTCATTATTTCTCAGGCATCGCTACAATTACATGATCGTTAAAAATCAACGAGTTTACTAAGCAACTGCCCCGATAGCACACTCATTATCCTCAATCGACTAATCAAGCCATTAGTAAGAAAACAACAACAATAAACAACAATAAACAACAAAAACAAGGGGGAAAAAACGTCGATGCTCACCCATGAACTTGGGCACGTATCTGTACTTGACGAAGGGGAGGTAGAAGAGCATGCCAGCGGCTATGAAAGCGGCCGCGTACAGGTACTCGATCTGAGGCTTGTCGATGATAGGCGCGACGATCAGGTAGATCGATATAAGGAGTACCAGCACCGGTATCACAATGGGGCATCTGTAGGGCCTCGGATGGTCGGGCCGCGTGCGCCTCATGACCAGCAATGCAAGCATCGCCCCGCCGTAGAATATCCAGGCGGTGAAGGAGAAGAAGTCGATGAGGGAGTCGATGCTGCCGGAGAGCACCATCGCCCCGGCAACGAGGGAGTGGAAGATGAGGCCCGGGGCTGGGGTGAAGCGGCGCACGTGGACGTAGCTAAGGCAGTCCATGAGGTGGCCCTCGCGGGAGGCTGCGAAGCAGAGGCGACCCGCGGCGAAGAGGGTCCCGTTGGCCGAGCCGAAGGTGCTCACGGCCACCGAGACCGGCATCAGCCACGCCATCAATCCCAGGATCCGGTTTCCAAATGTCTGTCGGCAAAGGAGGCAAACTTCACACGCCCGTAACTTATACGCCCTGCTTCTTCCTCGCTCGGTCTTCCTTCGCCTCATTCGACTTTTGGATTTACATTGTGGCCTCTACTTACAATGGGGCACCGTTCGCTCACTCACCGTTGGCTCAGCCAATTCGCGACTACGGTTATATCCGGTTACCGCTCACTCTTCTCATCCCTAATGACTCGATACATCTCGCTTGTCATCCCTAATGAATGTTTTCGTTTCTAGATCACTACTAGGAGGATATCGAGTCTCGTGTATCCATAAGATCTTGCGCTGACGTGCATTTAAGAAAATACCGTTAGCCCCTTTTTAAAATTCTAATTACGTATTATGTGAGTGAAGCACAGCTTTATTAAAAATATTCAACTTTAAAAATGCCACGTTGGGGGCGCTATAAAATATAACTATACAATATAAAAGAGCATGCCATTTAATTGATTATAAAAGATTGTTATTATCAGATGATAAAATTGTTTGAAGATCATTCGACGAATTGAAGGTAAAAATACTTATATTGAATAAACGAAACTTTGGCAATAACGCAGAATATAATATGTGAAAATTCCGTAATAAATTTTCGCAGCACTTGAATGCAATAGCTATAATTAAAAAATATTATATAATGGTTTTAATACACGATCTCATGGATAAAGTTTTATTAAATTTATTAATCCGTAACGTTATTGGGTCAGAAATTATTGTCTTTCATTAAGTGTGTACACGTCTCGTCTTGAATGATGTTAAAAAAAAAAAAAAAAAAAAGTGGGTGAAGGGGGTGAAAATCCGGGGAAAAAAATTACTCTCTAAATTATTAGTATATAAACGATTGGGAAACATAAATTTTTTTTGGAAATACTTGTTGTAATCTTAGAAGAAGAATAAAACAACAACAACAAAAAAAGGTAGATTAACTTAAAATTCAACGCCTCGTTGGAATTTGGTAGATTATTTTCTACGAAATTAAGTATTTGGGCAACGTTGTATGGCGCAATAAGAATAATAATAATCGAATGGCGTAAGACCGGGCAAGTAAGAAGTATAATTTTCATTCTGATACTACATGTATTTTACTTGGAAACGTTTATGTAACGTAACACCGACTTCTACTATTACTCAAACAAATCATATTAGGAGAGATCGCTCGCAAATAATATTGAAAAGAGAGTGTCAAGTAATCTTACCACGGCGACAGCCTCGCTATCGATCATTTCTAAAGGCGACATGACTGCCAAATACGAGACGTTGATTAAAGCGTAGCACAACGTGACCAGCGGTATGCCAATCATAATGGATCTCGGCAGATTTCTCGATGGGTCCTTGATCTCCTCAGTGACATAGTTCAAATTATTCCAGCCGTCGTATGCCCAGAGACCCGTATAAAAGGCCGTGGCGAGTTTGCCGACGTTGAAAACCGTCTTGGCCACGCCGTCCGTCGTCTCCTCGACACTCTCGAAAACATTGTGCAGATGCTGGGTATTGCCCTGCACGAGCTTGTAAGAGCCACCGGCGACGATCACCAATATTGCGAATAGCTTGCCAGCCGTAAAGGCGTTTTGCACGCCCGTCGCAAGATTAACGCTGTAACAATTGACGAGTAGAATGAGGACGATGGCGAGGAGGGCGACGAGTTTCACGATCTCCTGGGGAGGGTCGCACTCGGCGGCGAAAGCCTCGACGGCGTACTGGGCGAACGACAAGCATATTATAGCCATCTGCGAGGGCTTTAGTACGAGGGTGGAGACCCAGGAGAAGAGGAACGCCGGCGGCGCGCCAAAGGCGTCCATGAAGTAGGCGTACTCGGCACCGCTGCTCGTGTTCATCGTGCCGAGCTCGGCGTAGGCCAAAGCACCACAGAGGCTGAGCAGACCGCAGCCCGTCCACACGACGAAGCTCATGCCTACGCTCCCGGTTCGAATCTGCATTTATCAATTCGATCTCATTTTACAATTTTGCATTATTAATGGGCCCGCGTGCGCGTGCCATACATAGGGAGCAAAGCTTTACGAACGTCGATGTCGCGGATTTTTTCTTTTTCTTTTTCTTTTTCTTTTTCTTTTTCTTTTTCTTTTTAATACCCAATCAAACCTACGTTCTCGGTGAAATAAAAATTTAGTACTAATTCTGAACTAGAATATAGAATATACAAAAGAGTTGACAAAAGACGAATAATCGTTGCATTATGAGGTGAAGTATTTTTAATTTATAATCGGTAGTAAAGTAAGCTTTGTATTTTTAAGACGTGTGCTACTTTATCTCCTTCTCTTACCTCTCCATAAAGAATTGAATTTCCATGTTACGAACAAATTAATTAAGAATCAGAACTATATTTGATACTCTATGTTAATCTTTATGATTTTTATCGATTCGTATTAAGATCTGTTATTCTACAATCTGAAACTGTATTGAATAAATTTAATAAAATAAGGTTCACGTGTTTGTAAAGTTTCTGAACTTTAGTGGAATTACGTTATTTTTCTAAGTTCTTCTATTTCTTGATTGTAAATAATTTTTGAAAACTACTTATAGACATAATTATTATACAATTTTATATAATGAAGAACTTCGATCTAAACTGAAATAATATTTTTCTAAGATTATTGTAAAATTATTTAATTCCATTATAATTTATTCGCTTAAATAATATTGATTCTAATTAAAATTGATGCCTAAGTCATACTTATTAATTTATGTATTAAAAGTACTTACACTCAGAATTTGATCTTACTTGCTTTATAATTTGTACGTTATTTCTAGCACAACTTGATAACAGAGACGGAGACAGAGACAGAGAAAAAAAAGATAAATTGTGGAGATGGGAGTGGGGGAGGGATGAGAGAAAATGGAATAAAGATTGAATTTTCCTTCCATAAATCCTTACATCATTTTAAAAATTACCGCATGTTTATAGCCCGTAAAAATGCGTTTAAAATTTGTATTATTTTCTATCAATCTTGTTTTGTTTTTTCTGTTCACAGATTATAAATATTTTCACATTGCTTCGATTATTTCTTTATTAATAAACCTTCATTGATATCATTCATGCGTATAAATTTTTTCACTCGTCAATAACATGTTTCCATTTCAATTAAAATGACTGATCGGA